TGGATTCGAATTGATCCAACACTCCCGACAAGACCAATATTCTTCTTGAATATATGGTAGATCTGAGAATAGGTCGCAGATTATTTTGTACCCCTAAATGACAAGGGTGATATGATATATATAATTCTCTAACCCCTCCAAAGATATACCTAACTAATAAAACAAGTATAAATATAAATGAAACTAGCATATCCCGCCATTTATTTCTATGAATTGGGATCCATTGTAATATAATAATTGGTAAAAACTTTTGCGGTCCAGTCTCTGATCAACACAAAAGGTACGAGTTAAGCTATATGTCTTATGTAACAAAGATTCTTTTATAATTCTTAAGTCTTTATTAACTTCTACACTTCCTCGCCAATAAATTATGTGCTGAGGAAAAAACGCTGAGTCGGTGTTGATTATACTAAGAACGCAAGAAAACCTGGTCTTTTGATGAATCGTAACAAGTCTTGTACGTCTTCGTATACGTCATAAACCAGTGCGATGAATCAATACCGTTGATTCTATTGATTATCCTTATCTATGCTTAAATAAAACATATTTATTACTAACTGTTTATGCGACATATATAGTACGACTATGACTAAAAGGATTACAATTACATATATTCGGGAATTCATGCAATTCAGCATTCAAACTGTATCACAGGAATACAGATTTCAATACTTACACAATTATAAAATTGCATTGAATTTCAAAATTTGATTTTCTGTTGGTCATGAGGTAATAGAGATCAATGCTCTATAATTGAAAAATCATTGCCAAACAATTAACAAAACCCCGAAAATTTTACAATTTCGTAGTTTTAGATTTTATTATTTTATTTCTAGCAATTTAGATGCTTTTTTGTTAAAAAGTATTATTTATTTTTATGGCTATAATAGCCAAACTTCTTTTGAAATCTCCAGTTATTAAAATTTCGAACTGGTATAATTATTATCTACATATATGCCGTATTCGAATAGTAGGTAATCTCATTTATTCAAAAGTTAAGAGTTACCTACTTATTGACTCCCACTAAACAAATAATTACTATCTTTATTTGTTTAGTTTCATCATAGAAATGATGATGATAAGTTAAGTATTAACGTTAAAAATTTTTTCTATGGTTCCATTAAATATCTGTCTACTTATATCAAATCAAGGTAAATAAATTATAGCCATATAGGTACTTTGATGAATCATGTTTAATCAGAGTATACGTAGGCACCTAATTAGTATTTTCCCGTGGAGTTTCTAATGAAAAATCAGTAGGCATGATAGCTTTGCTCTCGAACTCTCGAAGGTTGTATGTACGTGTCGACGACCGCATATATACGCCACGTCATAGGCCCCCACTCCATGTACAATACGTGTCATAACATGCTATTTTAAATTTCAATTTACATATTGTAATTTAATCGATTATATGCCGACAACGGCCTAGTTTAAAACTTTATTGTCAAATATTAAAGTACATTTAAATATTTTCTAATTTTATTCTAGAATAAAAGACATCTTTCATTATATAATTATTTAGTTCGGAATCGACATTAGACAATATTTTTTACTGTTATCAAGAATCCGTTAAAATTTGTACAGAATTGTCGAAACTATTGTGCAGGTATTAATATGATCTACACACTAAAGAACAGTCAATATGATTTTATATTTTTTTGTAACTTATTGAAAACTAATTTATTTATACATATTATTGATAGTCATTTATCGCATCAACTATTTATTATATTATTAGTGCCTATTATGCCTAAACGAGGAGGTCAAAACGTCTATTACCATCAACTTCTGAAGTGAGATCTTGAGGCAGTAGGTTGCGGTAGCGACCTTACTTCTGGTCTTGGTCGGCGTTCGATAATACGGCTGACGTCATTTTATATATCTACTAAAATAATTCGCCTTGATCCAATATTATAGTTGGTAAAAGGCTGCCGGTAGTAGCTACAATTAATATTGTAGTGCACCAATAAATAAACAATAACACTAAAAAGAAGGAATGTATTGTATGTCACTAAAACCATATGTAGTAGATACCTACATATGATTAGTAGTAGTAGTATCAACCCTCTCATTATCTTACACATATACTAAATCTTCCTTATATAAGGATATTTGTATGTGTGTAAGATTTTACTTGACCTTACCTTTAGAACGATTAACCGATTTCATTCAACTTTATCACATTTCTAAAGGTATAGATAAAACGAAAGGATAATAAAATTGCACAACTAACTTAACTTTCCACGTTTGACAGTTCGCACTAAAACAGGATAACGTAATATTATTTAAATATGTAATTAGTTATTTAAATATTATTCAGTCAACACTAATTTTTTTCACCACCCTACTTTTAGAGAGAGAGAGGTAGTGTCAATGGTATCGATCGCTTAAATCTTTACCTGTACAGTTATATCTGTAACAATAGTCGTTAATCTGTGTTTCATTTACAAATGATACTAGTTATTTTGTTCAACATCTTACATTGTTCAATTTCATTATTTGCATCGGGTATACGTATACCTATACCTCACTAACAACATATTTATTTAATAGAAACCTCTCAAAATGTCATAAATATTACATTGATATATGTTCGACACCCACTCAAAACCACAAAAGTGAGACGTTCATTGGAAAGATTACAATCTCCACATTGCAATTTCATTTCGCCCCCACATCTGAGATCACGTCACTGTAACAAATAAATACAATAGCTAATACGAAGGCCGCGACTAGTGCAGATCAGATATACATACGTACGTACACTGTTATATTATTACGGATATATACGTATTCTTGCTACATTTACTTTGTAAATCCGTTTTTATAATCACTAAATAACGTTCGACCTTAAGAGAATTACTTCTCGTTTCCTTAAAATGCCTGTAATTATATAAATGCCTACTGCAAAGTACATACCGTTAACGCTAAAGAGGTTATTATCCCTGGATCAGTTTTTACGTAAAGAGCATTGCATGTATATGCCTATAAAATGCTAAGTGAGGACTATATGAAGCCGAAATTCAGTGATAATATCCATAAAAATGAGCAATATAATCTATTCACTTAAACGTACAAAAATATGATTAGATATTTTATATATAACACTTACTGTTGATAAAGTAGGCGTAATATAGAAATATTACCTACAGAAAGTAGACCATTTCTAACTACCACAGTTTTTGAGAAATAATAAACTTTCTACAAACTTAGATTATTTATTATATTATTTATTAGATTATATTTATAGTCATATTTGGTCTAAATCAAGGAAATTTTAATAATTGGCGTTAATTCCAAGCATCTATTTGTAATAGATAAGTACATAAAATAAAAATAAATTTTATTATTGTACCATATATACATATATATGGTACAATAATAAAATTTGTTTTTGTAGGTAACATTATTACCCATTACATATTCATACCTGCATCATTTTTGTTCGGAACCATCGATGTGAGAGATCGGCTCGCACTTTAGCGGTTCTGTTTTTTTTTTAATAATTAATGTCAACATACCAATTATAAAAAATTGGCTACTGTGTCATTCTCCTGCTTTAGTAGATATAATAAGTGTACTTACACATAACTGTACATTTCAATAATGACAACCTAGAAACATCAGTCAAATATTTAAGAAATGTATAAATTATGAATGAGTTTGTTTTTATTACAATAGGTAGGTACATAGGTAATGTATATCGCATAATGAAATATTCATGACGGTGAGTTTTTGATGGTCACACTCACAGAAAACTGTTATTATAACTGTCCAGTACTCTGGTACAGTATTTTATCTACACTTAACATGCGGTAAAAATGCTGTCCTCGTTTTAACTGTAGCATTATGTCATATAAATAGCTGGTAGTTACAGTTTGTATATCCTTAGGGTATACTTAACTTTTTATAAAATGGCATATACCACAATCAAACATTTACTGAACCATGAGTATTACATAAGAATATCAGTGGGATAACTGTAGCGACTTTAAATGGCGGTAAACACGTTAGTAGGTAGACAGGGTTTCTGAGCGATGGTAGTGTCAATGAATGAATTTACATGAAATTAGGTCACTTGGGCTGATGATGCATGATGGTTTCCAGGGACATGAAGGTCGATACAGTCGGGCATAGATCACAGCGTTTATATTATTGTAAATTAATATTATCTATTAATTTGGTAGATATTTAAATATTATGTTAGGTAAAATTATAGGTTAGTCCTTTCCCACTATTGCCGTCAAGCACCATCAACCGCTTTCTGTTCTTACCTAATGGTTAGCTGGTAGAGAATGCCATATGGCATTAAGCTCGCCAAATTGTACAATTTTTAAAAGTGCAATAAAGAATAAATAAAAAAATATTTACAATATATGAAACAGCTCAAGTAACGCGGTATTAAAATATGGGTAGAAAAATTCACCTACTCCCTATCCTATTATCCTCCTAATCCTACGTTTAATTTTTTTAGATAGGTACGACCTACACCGATTTTCAAAATATTTAGAAAATATTACATAAACATAGAATGAAATAAAAATAGATTCTAAAATTTAAAAATCGTTTAAAGTTGCTTTGAGTTTTCTCAAGATATGCAATAGATGTAGCAACCATCATTATGGTGAAACAAGTTATGTGTTGACTGACCAAGTCAGAACTACTTTTTATCACGGAATATTCAGAGGCATTGCTATAAACGAAACCAAGGCAAGTAAGACCAAGGAACGTAAATAATTTTTGATGGATGAATACTATTTGATGCACCCGTCAGTGCTAAGAATATACTCCGACGGGGCACCAATGGAGGATGACAGAATTAGCATGAAGTCAGATCAATTAGCAATCGTGTCTATTCAATCACGATCGTTTCCACGGAGGAGCGTGTGTGGTTGACCTGATGTGGTATATTATTAATTAAGGTATATATTAGACTCCTTTATCGAGATAGGTAGTCATAATGATACATAGAATGATCTTAATTATTCTCTTTATAGGTGACAGAAGGTGGCGTGACACGTAGAGTAGCTCGTGCAATGGAGGTTCTCCAGGCGAACGGACCCGGTTCTCACGTCCGGGTTATGCGCGCCGCCTACCACTCCTCCGCCGGGCCGGGCATACCAGCCTCCTCTTACATGCTTCACTCCTCTCGGAGGGTATGATTTTTATTTTTTTTTTATTTTCTGAGTACTTAGTGTTTAATATTGGGTTAAGAATAATCAAGTTGACAAAAAACATTTTTACATAGTATATAATAAAGTCGCTCTTGCTCTCTGCACATTTTGATCTTTTAATCTAAGCAACACATTTTAGCAATATGTAGAAAAAGTGATACGTGAGGAACGTTTATATGTAAGTATATTACATGTCCTTACATCTGTCGGAAGGCGGGGCGGGCAGTTCGTTCATAATAATATTAAACATAGATATATATTCCCTGATGTGACTATATAATAAGTAATTTGTGATATTTTTTTCAGGTACTTTCTTCCGGGTTCAATTTCTTAGATTCACAATCATTTCCCACAATTACCAAACCTTTAGAATTATCATCAACTCCACTAGAATTAGCGGCTGATTCAAATTTAGAAACTACAAATTATAAAGTCACAGAGCCAGATGATTCAGAAATATCTGAACCGTCTAAGTGGAAAGGAGCAGCTAGTGGCAGCTCAATACGGTTACCAAGTGAAGAATCCTCATCTACAGACAATGCCAGTATAATAGATCTTGATGTTCAATCACCGCATAAGAATATTAATAGAAAATATTCTTACGATTCAGAAAGCAGTGATATTCAATATCACAAGACTAATAAGTCCAGAGCATCACCGCTATTAGATCCCCCGGTAACATTAAGTACTCTCAAATACAAATCTCTTTTGAATGGAAGTAATGATTGGAATAATAGAAGAAAGAGTTACAGTTTTGAAGACACATGTCCATTAAATGAAACCATTTTGCATGAAAACGATACGTTAGCTATGGAATCTTCTACAGATAGCGGTATTTGTAAATCATCAGAAAGAGTTAACGACCACGCAGATGAAATCAATACATATTCGGCATTTATGGAAAGAAAAGATAAAAAACAAAATAATCAAGATGAAACATTTAAAGACTGGCTCTCTAAAAATAGACCTAGCATGTTGTATAAAGGTACACAGTTAAAGCCATGCAAAGAATATGACACAGTGATGGATGAAAACATGGGAAATAATATTACATTACAATCATCAGGAAAGGTATCAATAACAGTACCTATAACTATTGAAAAAGAAGACAATGTAAGCAGTAACGACGACGGTGAAAGAAAAGTAAAAAGGGTTGAGTTTTGTAAGACCGAATTACATTTTGCTGCTGAATCAGGAAAAGTAAATATAATAGCGACAGATGAAAAACCTCCGCCTTCAAATGATTTTCGGAAAAGAAGGAGCGCTTTTGTGCCCATAAAAAGTACATTTGAAAAGCCAATTACACTTTTTGGCGAAAAGCCTGATGTTTCTGCGACAATAAATCCAGATTTTTTGATATGTAATAATAGTGAGATCGGTGAATTTGAAGAACTTGAGAATACAGCAGCTACAAAAAGTATTCTCAAAAACAAAATTCCCAAACCCAAACCATATCTTTTAGGAGAGAATATGCCATTTGGGATCACGGATAATCTTTCAAATAAGGATAGATTAAGTAGTAATGTAAGTGTTCCCACGGGTGTTTCATTGATAAATAGGCAATTGCAATCAGAAAAAATATATAACAACCAAACAAACGTAGATTTTTCTCGAGAAGTTAATACGAGCTATACAAGCAATTCATTTAGAGCTATCAATAAAGGTATGTAGCATAGATTTAAGCATTTTTAAAATTACTTACTCAAAATTAAATAGGTACTATAGTGATAAATTATTTTTTAACATTTACATTAATTATTTTATACCCATTTACGTTTATGATTTTTATGATAATGTTACATTTTGTTTTTAACTCAAATATTATTCAGAAAATACGTATCGTAATATATCATGTCACAAATCAATATCTAATAGATGTCTTTATAACCATAATATGGTACCGTCTGTTATATTTACTAATTGTTACTATTTCAGGTTCATCGAGATACAATAGCTCGACTATATCAAAAAATACTTCAGAGTACGAGACGAGTGAGCCTGTACTTAAAAGAGAACCACCTATTAGCAGCCCAGGTAGTTCTATGAACAACAAATTGCATATATTGCAAATGTCACCGATTCCAAAACCTAAGACAAGACAACTTCGAGACAGTGACCTGACATACTTTGGAATTGATGATAAGACTAGAAATAAAAGTAGACCGAAGTTTACAGAAAATTCATTGACTACACAAATTGATGAAATTAATAATATATTCAAATCTGTTAAGTTAATAAAACAAATATCGAGTAGTGCTTGTAACAGCGAAGCAGAGTCTGATGATATGGCTGAATACCAAAACATTCCCTTCAAAACAAACTTGGCTCCTGTTCCCACCCCAAGACCAAGATCAAAATACGACAAATCTAAAGAAACCGAATCCATAACGGTACTACAGCCCATAATAGAAAAATCTGATCCTCCATTAAATGTTCATCATGAATCACGGCGTTCAAAGATCAGAAAACAGGTAGATTTAAACTCCGATAAAAATCGAAGTCGCTCGGAACCAGCAAAGAGTCATAGACATGAACCTTTAGCACGAAATAAGCAAGAATATTACTCGCACAGTACAAGAAAAAATTCTCCTCCACCAAGGTATTTCATTAAATAATACATATATACATTTTTTCTATGATCTATTAATTATAATAGTCTGATCAAGCCAGTAGTAGCGCTATTTATATATTTTGAATGGACGATCGGATTTCGACTCGATTTTATGCTGCGTCAACAACAGTAATATAAAAATAGAAAACAGCAACTATACATATTACAATGAGAATAATAATCTAAATACGAATACCACTCTAATACTGTGCTCTACAAAATTTGTTACCGCTTTCTGTGGCATTACATCGAAATATATGAAGTGGAAAAATTACAGATACTTATTATGCAAACGAAATATTCTTGGCAGTGTTGCATGGTCATAATGTAAGGTCCTGCACCTTACATGCTGATCATGCACCACTTCCAAGAGCAAAGAGCAAATATATGTAGTAGAATCTATGTACTAAACTTCCTTAAAAGTTTTTTATCGATTAAGCTTGGGTATCAAACGACCAAAAATTTCACATGCAAGTGGAAGAGTCCTTGAAGATTAAATACTATGCGATCAGATTTTCTTGAAATTAAAGATTAACCTTTTATATTGCAGGTTGAAACAAAATCGAGAAATTGGGCGAAAACGAAACGAATCACCAGGGAATAAACCTACGCCTAAAACCAGCACGTCAGAAGATGAGATACCACATTATGTTAATATAAAAATTAAAGCTGAAACAAACAATTGCACTCAAGATTCAGAACGACAGGTACAGTTAGAACAACGACGAAATACATCTAAAATAAATGTTACTACACATAGGAAACAACATAAATTAGATGAAACAAATTTGCAATGCGCTCAGAAATCCAATGAAAAATATATTGCAAAAATACCGAAATCTGTAACAGAAAATCAAACTCACAGTCTGCAAAAAAAACAAGAAGAATCTTCAATTAAGAAACATCAACCACGCCGAACAAAAAAACTTGTCACGCCAGAGCATTCACTTAATTATCAAACTGACAATCAAAATGGAAACAACCACGACTCTAATAAAATTCTAACAGAAACCGAATGCAAAAGTGACTCTGTAAGTTCAACGAAAATGAGACAACAAAATCGAAGCCGGCCTTCTCATGATCAACCATCTAAGCCTGAAAAAACACATGCAGAAATAAAAAATGATATTACAAATAACATTAACACAAATAATGAAACAAAGAAAGATACCTCCAAATATCGTACAAGACAATCATCACAAGATAAAGTCAATAAAGAATCGTCTAGAGCTAATCATAAATCTGATGTAAAATCATCCAACGTGTATAATACGAAACTAATTAATAACACAGAAGGAAATAGCCCAGACAAAAATCTTAGTCCAAAAAAAGGCAGCCATAAAACGCCCAAACGCAGCGAATACGTAATTAATTACGATGATAAAAAAGGAACTGTATCTTCCATATGTAAAATCAAATCTGGACATAACTCATCAAAAAGAAAGATAGTTTCAAGTGAAAATAATAAAGAAACTCCGAAAGAATATAAAACAATAAATAAACATTTAGATAAAACTCCACTGCGTAAGTAAGTCGTCTGCATGCATGTTTTATTAAACATTGTAACAAAAGCCTTCAAATATTACTTGATTAAAAATGAACATAATTTCAGTGCAGCTTCCAGATCGACAATGGAACCGAAATGGACTGAATTACGAAAATAAGAAATGGAAGAAAAAAATACATATACAAAGATCTTGCCAACTATTGTAACGTAATAAGGTTACTAGTCTTAGCAAATTATGAATCTTTGTATTCATCGGAATCCTGTATACTGTGTAGAACGCATTGTATTATGTTTAGTGTGGTTAGTTAACAATGATCTCACATTGAGTTAGTTTCTAAAAGTCAAATAATCTTAACCAATTTTAACAATATAACATTCCGTATATTTATAAATATGTAATAGAAATAATAAACAAACTACAACATTATAAATGTTTATAATTTTATTTTCCATAATTTAATGAGTAATTTTTACACTGTTACTAAGGGGTCCTTATCGCAGTTGCTCACGAGCACTTGTACTTTCTTATCTAATCTATTTTGTAGATCTGACGAAAATATGCGTAGGAAACCTCTTTCGGAATCTGAATGGTTTGTTAAAATAACAGATATTCCCTTTTGAGAAGCATCGAGGACATCGTGATGGAGCATTTCACCTAAAAATAGCAATATACATTCTTGTCATTTATCTCGACAATTTAATGATAATTACAAATATCAAACAAACTATATTTTTCGGGATTTTATCTAGACAAGATATATAGTTTATTTTTAATCCATCGGTAAACTTGCTCTTGTTGTTTGGACCAGTATCTTTGGTTTAACTCGGCAGATTATATTTCTGTGCCTTTTCTTACTTTCTCTACTGAACAATATTTTTTTATTTCATATTAAATAACAAAAATTAATTAGATATAGGAAGTTCAATGTGCCAATTATATTTTTATCAATCATTTAAGTAATTTATGCTTGTTGTTAAGAAGACATAGTCTTCCGAGCCTTAGGTACTTATTACAGGAACATTTACTTATAACATAGAGATTGATCAGTATATCAGTAGAAGTAAACAAAAACAAATCCATAGATTCCGTCTGATATAAACTTACTTAACATTAAGTTGCATTTCTTACCTGTTAAATAAAGATCAGCAACAACTCCCTTTAAAACGGAACTGCCCGAGCCAGCGCAAAGTGCTACGGTTCGAACTTCATCAGATAACAATTTATTTCTGCCTATAGCAAAACGCACGTACTGCAGACCAGTGACTTCCTTCACTTTCGAAATAGCTTCAGATAACGATATGCCTGTTTGTAGTTTCAATATCCTAAAAATAAATTAATTCTTTCAAATTTGCTAGTTAATAAGTAAGTTTTTTTTTATGTTTTCTATATCGTCCAGGAATTGAAGAGTTAACATCTGACTGATGTCTCTGGACTCTCTGTAACTCAGGATAATCAAGACAACGTGAACTAGTTACAAGCTAAGCAGAATTTGTGTTATGGATAACTGATAGAAGTATTTAAATTATTTTGTTTGTAAATAAATACATAATATAGTAAATAACCAGGCCAAACAATCATACTCATGAATACGAATGTTTGCACCATGGGAGGAATCAAACCCACTATGCGGTACATGTACAGTGGTGTGGTGAACCGCTTTACACGTTTTCCTTTACTTCTCCAAAAAAAGCCTCATTTTATTTTGTTTTCAATAAAAGCTGTCGGCATAATAAATTTAAAAATGCTTCAATGTGTTGCAAAAATACGTGACAGTTGTATTAAAGTATCAGATAAGAAACCTTTATAACAAGATACATAATGTCATAGACTTAAGGAGCAGGAATTCATACCATAGACTTAAGATGCACCTGATCAATCTTAGCTATATAAGAATTGTTGCTGCTTTTTGAGGGTTTTTGGCTATTGTCAGGTGTTAAGACCTGTACCTGTACCTGTGGGTGTTAAGCACAGTGATCTATTGTACATAAATTGTTAGTTCATTCTAAGATTTAAGGGATTTTTACAATTTATCAAGAAATGACATTTGCAAGTACTTATTAACGTTAAAATAACGTTTTCGCGCGGCCTTTTTTACTTGTACTCTATTTTTAGAAGAATAAAAAAATGCTGGAGACATAATAAATATAATTTAGGCCTTCGATAATACTATAATATAATCAAATATAAATATATATATAATAAAATCACTACATACCTTCCGGCACCCACAGAGGGGTCAGTCCTTGTTATGATTGGTGCAGACTCTGCAACCAAGAAAGGACTAGCCAGCCAATCATTTACACCTCCTTTAACACAGTCCCAACTAGTATGCGGTGAGTATAACGATATCCGCTTTTCTAACAGTAAAGACAATACGCGTTCTTTCCATGACCTAAAAGAATATTAAACATTTATACATAATGCACTAAAATTAACTGAATGTGAATAATTCTTCAGTACTTTTTTTTTATTCTATTCACAAATTAAAAATGTATACTAGGAATAGCTTAGTGAATTTTGAATACCTGTATAAATTTTTGTAGAATAGACAGAAATTTGTATCTGTAAATAATTAATGTAGTACTTACTGGTTTGTAAAATTTTAAGTTAATACTACTCACTTTTGTACAACAGATTTAAGAGGCGCGAATATTGGAGGATGATATGAGATAATCATTTCACATTCTTTACCATCTGCTTCCAGAGCCACATCTTCAGTCAAGTCATTTGTCAATAAAATTTTGGTTACCGGTCTGGAATAAGTAGTGTATTATTAATTTATTTCAAGAATTCAAATAAATAATATAATGACTAAACAAATAGAAATAAATAAATAACCCTGGATAATTAATACAGCGTCAGCAAGCAGAGCTTGTGTTATGGGTACTAGACAACGATATAAATACGATATTTTTTCTTGTAAATACATACAAACACCCAGTCTGATACAAACAATCATAATGAATACAAATGTTTGCGCCATATGAGGAAGCGAAACTGCGACCATCGAAAGTGAAGTATGCTAAACCGTTAGACTACCGGGGCCGTCATAATAAAGGTTTACTTTATTAACCTTAAACTTTAAATATGATAATGATAAGCCCATCCCAATAATAATACAGCACCATCTAGTCACAAGATAAGCTGAACGATTTATTTTATGTACACAAAAACTGTTAGAAGTTCTTAATTTAGGATGTGTTTTTTCCAAATACATATATAATTTCATATAGTACCTACCTAGGAGAATATGGTTCTACCAACAAGCCCGTATTATCCCAACTCTCTGACAGCTCCTTGGGTGCGAACTTTTCAAGAACCGATACAACATCCACCAGTGACACTCCAGGGAATTTGCCGTTTGACATTTTTGATGTAACAATAGATGAAAAGTTACTTAATAGTAATAGTTTCTTTGAACTAACTGATCTTCCTAATTTGAAAAGCATCAGATATGAACTGAAATTTAAGAGATTACTTTCACGGTTTTCATGTTTTGTACTGAGATAGCAATTTTAATCATTGTGATCATAGAAAAACAATATTTTAAATAACTTTGCATAAATAAAATACATGGACTATAACATTTTGTTTATTTCTAAAATATCTGTTCCCTTATATATATTCAAGGAATCAAAAACCTTATTTACAAACAACTAAATTTAGTTATACAATTATTTGTTACATAATTTTTATCACATAATTCTTAACCACATTAGTCCTACTCAGAAAATTTCCATATTCTAATTTCACCATCATCACTGCAAGATAACAGTTCTTGACTTCCTGTAGGATTCCAAGTGACACAATTGACATCTTGTGAATGAGAATTTAATTTTGTACATATTAGTTCAAAAGTTGGTGCATTAGGATCAGAGTCTTCAGACTCTTTGAAGATCCTTATAATATCATCCCCACATGCTGTAGCTATTAATCCTGTTTTGTGACACCAAGCAACATCATACACACATCTTGTGTGATACCCTGATAATGTACACACACATTTCCATACGGATTCTTTGTCTGCGACCACTACACCTTCCTGGTTATCAGGCTTATATTCTTTCCAAATCTTAACAGTTTTATCATCACTGCAAGTAACTAGGCGCTCCCCTGTCTTATCAAAAGCTAAACTCCATACAGTAGACTCATGGGAGATAAGTGTAGCTACACAAGTCCAATCATTGTTTAGGAGATCTTCTTTGTACAATTTAATAGTATTGTCATATGAAGCCGATGCCAAGATATCTAGTGAAGGATGCCAAGCAACCTATAAATACAATATATCTTATCAATTGAAATTCCATTTAAATTTAAATTGTATAACATACAAATATAGAGATCAACAAACTTTTTTAACATCTTGATTGTGGGCATTGAGAACTGATTCACACTCATATTCATCTTCTCCTGCAACTTCCCACACCCAGACTGATTTGTCTCGACCACATGTCGCTAACAGTTGTCCAGATGGGGACCATGCCACACTTTTAACTTCATTTTCATGGCCTTCCAGTGTAGCATTACATTCAAATTGACCTATTAAAGTAGAGTGCAAGTAATAATAAACAACTTATATCATTATGTTATTGATTGGTTATTTAATTTGTTATACACACCACTTTTCTTGTCCCAAATTGCAGTAGTAGCATCAAAGCTTGCCGATGCCAAAAAATTACCACATGGAGACCAAGCTACTTCTCTGATAGTGCGTTGATGGCCATCCACAAGAACTGTTTTTACAGTCCATTCCAGTCCTTCTTTGCTCCATAATTTTATTGTTTTGTCTTCACCACAAGATGCAAATATATTTCCTAATGGATGCCATGCTACATTCCAAACGATGCCTTTATGGCCATGTAATGTTTGCAACAAATCTAAATTTGCCATGGTATTCTGTTCATCAAAATATTAAATAGTTTTTAAGTAATTATTGCTTAAGTCGACAAATCTTCTTAATTTATTATTGATATAGTATAAACATCTATTTATAGATATTCTTTAAAGATAAGTTATAATTTTAAATCTTCTATGGTACAAAATATATTGTAATTAAATATAATACTTACCAAATATATGTTTATATTAGACTTAGAGGTTAATTTAATGAAATATAGTAGACTTATTTAAACTTAGTCAATGTTACTGACTAATACTGACTGTCGTCTGCAAAGTACGGTTAAGTCAATCAATATGTCATGTAATATTGTTTTAAATTATCTTCATCTTTTCAGAAAGGCAATGTATATATTCATACAGCCAAGTCAATTTAGTAATGTAATAAATAATAATAAAATGACATTGACAATCGATGGTAATGGAATGCACCAATCCTAGATTAGGGGTTTACTCCCTAAATTTGTAGGAATGTGGATAAATTTAAGGGGGTCTTCCTATGTGATGGGTTGAAAAAATCGATTTTTTTCATTTTTTTTTGGACAGTATAAATATAAAATTTCAGCTAAAAATATTCAGTCAAACTAGAGTTAACATGTCTCCACGAGATCGGCTTATCTGAAAAAAAAAAAAACGGCGTTTTAATTTGTAGGCTTAAGCACGGAATGACCTATAATCAAATGAATATAAAAAAAATTGGATTTTTGATAGACATTTGAAATAAAAGTTGCAAATTAGGCGTTTTGTTTTTTGTTTTAAAAAAAGATGAAAATTTTCAGCATGCGTTTACATATAACACAATAGCCGTTTCTGAGATACAATGGAGGAAAGTTTGAAAAACACAGTTTTGAGAAAAACGCGTTTAAAGTTTCAAGTCGTTAAAAACTATTAAAATATCAAACTCTCAATCGGCGATGCCTGGTCCATAGAGTCGTGAAACTCTTTTAAAGCAGATTGTTCAGCTCTTGAGTCAATCCTGGCTTGTTTAACGACAACTCACCGCTCCGAACCGCTCTTTCTTTATACCTGAAAACCTTCATTGTATCTTTAAAACGACTTCAGAATGAATTTTCTAAAAATAAATCTTCGAAAACCGGTTTGCTTGGACTTGCGGAATTAGAGGTGGTTTATGATGAAATTGGTCCGTATTCTTAGCCATTTACACCAATGACAAAATTGATGCTGAGGGTTTTCATCAGAAGAACATTTGTGATAGTACGTTGCCCAAACTTCCTTTCTCATATCTTCAAGCGAATCTAGATGGCGTCGAATTGCTAATCCGTAGAATTTTGCAATTTCTTGGATAACTTTATCAGTAAGTTTACCTGCTCCTTTTCCTGTTTAAGTCTTAGAAACGTGTCTAAACTTGTATAAACAAATATAAAAAAAAATCGATTTTTTCAACCCATCACATCTTTAAAACGGAAGCTTTACTACCGTATTCTAGACATGTTAAGGGAGCAATTTATGAAAAAAAAAATCGATTTTTTCAACCCATCACATAGGAAGACCCCCTTAATAATCGAAGCTTAAAATATAACTATATAGTTTGCTTACAAGAATCAACAACATCAGTGGTAACCCCATGGCACCATAAAATATGAAATTAATTAAAAAATTGTACCACAATGTTTAATAAAAATTGTTTCTATCGCTATGTAATATTATGTTATCTGTGCTATCGCTTTGTGGTTACTTTAGTGGGCAAATATTAAATGGGTAACCAGAATATGGTTTATAAACACGCAAAAATTATACTATTTGTTATAAGTACAAATAAAAGAATAATTACAATGACAAACTTAAGATGATTGCATTGAAATGCTCTGTCTAGTGGGCCTGGTTAAACATAGTTGGCAACACTAATCACAAAATAAAAAAAAACTACAACCTCTAATGCCATAACCAAACATGTAGTTTTTTTCAAACTGTAAATATTACCAAATTAATATAAAATTTATTAGTTCTAATTACTGTTTTTGAATATAAATTGTGATATTCAAAGTGGTGTCCTTAATATGGAGAATAGCAATAAAATTGTTCCACCGCATCTCAATGCAGAAGTTTACAGAACAGACACTACCGGTACCACCACAGTCTCTTATTTAGATTATATTCTTATTCAGAAAGGTATGTACACACAGTTTTAACTTATTTTAATATTAATACTTGATGATAAATGGTATGAAACATTTTAGGTATTATTTTTTATTGCAGATAGCAGTGTGCTTATAGGTTGCTCAGAGTTAACTGGACGTTACTGGAACGGGGGTGCTAGCGTTTACACAGACATTCAAGATGCCCTGAAATGTCACAATGGTACAAAAAGTAGTATATATTTGACAAGTGGTACTGCAGATGGATGTTTTATCGGTAATTCTAGTAAGGTGAGGTTGTAATTTCAGAGATTAGTCCACACTTGCATGTATCATACATTTATCTATATCCACATGGTACTTATTTTCTTTAAAAGAATTATTGTAAGTATTATTAGATTCAGTAGTAAGCAATTGCTATAGGTTTATAGAGAAATTAGATACATATATATAAATATCTTTATTCTTGTAGGTCTATCAGACTTATGATATATCAAATCTACTGTCAGTATGGCATTCTTTTTACATTATGTAAAATTTGTCAATTCATATAAATTCTCTGTGTTCTGACAGAGTGGAAAAATATGTGACCTCTCCTTTTCATTCCTAGGGTGACATAACAGAAATGGGAAATCAAAGGACACATCAACATGAGTAAGAGAAAATATAGTATGCTATAGTGGTCAATAAAATAATTATTATACTTATACTAGCGAAGAAATTTATAAAATTATTTTCTTAGGTAGCTTGGTGACAAACTATATTTATCGGATGCTTATATTTGCATGATGGTAAATGGTAACTACATACATGAACAGAACTATGGACATGATAATATCATATGACACCTGTGCTTCCATTCATGAGTTTCCATTCCCCATGACTTAGATATTATGCCTCTTATCATGTAATTCCTGCTTAATCTGACCCTACAACCAAAATAGCTTATAAAGCAAACTGCTTGGCAGCTAAGATAGGAAAGACTTAGAGACCTACTCATACAACTTTTTACACTCTACCTCTGGTATTTGAGTAGTTTTACATTGGACTTTATTACTTCTTTTATAGGGAAAATATTTGTGTTATTTATTATGTTCACATTAATTTTAATTAAGTACTTACTATTACTTATATACTGAATGTAATAAATAAGATAATAGAAATATCTTTTTCATATTTTTTAGGTATTATTATGTGAAGACAGCGGTGCAGTGAGTATATGGTCAACTACATGTGATGCATGGAAACTCTGGAATGAAGATATATCTGCAGCTGAACATGATGATGCTGCATTGGCTGTTGGGTGTTTAGTTCCAGAAAAAGAATATATAACAGTAGGAGGTGATGGAAATGTAAAGGTACTACATGTACACATGCATAGACGCTGTATTATATACATTACTTCTTTTTATGCTTTCTACTTTTTTATCTATAAATAAAATAACAATATAGAAATTGAAGTTTTGTGATTATGAATATGTAAATCTTATTATTAATATTATAGACACTAAAGTTTGTGAGTATGGATGGATATAACAATAATAATTGTTAAATCATAAATATATTTGGTGTAAATATATTCTTTCCTGTAAAATACAGTACAGTACAGTAGTCGTCTACAGTAGTGTCAAGGCCATTAATATTTTCTGAAATTTAGTGTTGTAACAAACAGACAAACATATTTTTTGTTGTACTTATATTATGGACTCTAATCTCCACATTTAACCCTCATCTGAGCCATTGTGTTTATGCTGTACTTATGAAATCCATAAATGTTCTAAATATTGCACAATATAGATGTCAAATATAAAATGTAAATTTAGTACATTATTTTATTATCATTGATTTCAATGTTACAGATATGGGATATAAATGAAATGATATGTATGACAAATTATAACGCTGCTCACAGCAGAGCCATATACAGTGTGTCAGTGAAGTCCAATTCCAACACTATTTTTGCAACTGGTTCATTAGACGAATTTATAACTTTGTGGGATCAAAATGTTTCCAAACCAGTCCTGGGTAAGTTATTTGTTTTGCTATAGAATAGAATAGAAAAACCTTTATTCTAATAAATTAATTTAAGCATTTTTGAATAGTCATAGTTTTTTTAATCATCCAGGAATCTGTCTCATCACAAGAAGAATGAGAAAGAAACCTGTGTGTCACTCTTTTAAATAATCGTTGTAACTTTACATTTTTAAGTCAAAATGTGTGAATACAAACTACTAACTAGCATTAATTTATTAGGGCTAAAATACTAAATAGATTAGAACAGACGAATCCCTATAAACAGCACTTGTTCACAAGTGCTTGTTCCGCCATCAGTGCACTCAACCATATTGTAAAGAGCATTGATCTGGCTTATTTTCTCCAGGTGGAATGTCACTTTGATTTCTACTCTAGTTACAGAGAAAAAATATTTTTGTATATTTGTCAAAACTATAATAGTATAACTCTCTCACTATATAATGCTATGTGTTAGTATTATTTATATATATTATTAGTATTATTGGTATATTTATATTTGTTTATGTATAGGTATATTTGTTTTTCTCAGATTTAGTACAAAATAACTGTGGCATCCGTTGCTTACAATGGATAGATGAAAATAGACTAGTATTTGGCGATGAGGCTGGGGTGTTAAGTTTAGTAGATGCTAGAAATCCTCAAGAAGTTACAAAATTAACAGAATTTCCCGCTGCTGTTCATAAGTTGGTTGCTCATAGAGAGTAAGTATATTCGTTTTGTAAGTATTTAAGTTAAGAAAAATATCTGTCTCAGTTTAATTGGTTTTTATTTTTGGGTCATTAATATGAATGAAATGTGCAGTCAGAAATATTAATTGACTCACAAAGTATATTTTTGGTCTCATCCTGAAATGAACACAGGATCTCACAGTAAATACACCCAGTATTTCAGAGTCGTAAATAATATATATATATATATATTACTTCTATACTACTTATATATATATATGTATATATATAATACTTCAGGATGCTGTTAAATATTTTTAGTAGTCGTACCTTTGTAAGACATTTTAATGGTACTAATATTTATTTCCTATTTTCATTTGCAGATCTCATAAAATGGGAGTATGTTGTGATAATAATATAGTATCAGTGTGTTCAGTAAGTGAAGATTGTATAGCTAATGTTGTGTACCATGACAGGCACATGCACAAGAATTATGTAAGAGGAATGGCATGGGATATTAAGGAAGACAATGTATTACACACATTAGGATGGGATGGAACAATACAAACACACAATATAGTATGGGAATAATAGCACCTTTTTGGGGAATATATATTTTCATAGTAATAAATGAAGTATCCCACCATTCTATTTGTTTCAATCATGATTCCGATAGATTGGATCAAACACCGGATCCTTTCTCAATTGTCTTACATTATTCTTTATTATTTATAATACACAGGAAAAAATACATAATATATTGATGAGTTGTTGAATTTATTCCCAAATTACAGAAAAAATCTGAAATTAAATGCATCACGTTTGTTTTGTTTGTGCGCAAATAATTTTTTTTTTTTTTTCTCTTTTCTTATCTGCAATCAGTCCCGGAACTATGAGCAGATTTTTTGGGTGTGGGATCTAAGAATGGAGTGTCCACCCCAGCGGGCGAATCTACTCCTTAAGCATGCTGCAAACATTACACAATGTCGCTTCTTTTTAGTCGCTTGGGGTAAAGTATTTGTAGTAATTGAGCAGCCAGTTGATTCGGGTGGTCACATAGTCGCTTTTTATATTTTTCTTTACAATTGAGGATCTCCTCCTTTACTGTCAGTACGCCAAGTTCCTTGTGAATTTCGTTGTTGGTGATGTACCAAGGGACACCCGATATTGTTCTCAGTATAATATTTTGGGCCCTTTGAATGATGTTAACATTTGACTTTGACGCACTTCCCCAAAGTTGTAAGCCGTATGTCCATACAGGTTTTAGAATGGACTTATAAATCAGTAGTTTATTGTCAATAGACAGTTTTGTATTTCGACCCATAAGCCAGTAAAGGTTTTTAAAGCGAATCATTAAGCATTCTCTCTTGGTTTTAATATGTTCCCTCCAATTCAAACGGCGGTCAAGGTGTACTCCAAGATACTTAACATTGTCCTTATGTGGTAGAGCATAATCTCCCAATCTTACTGGTGGACAATTTCCACGTTTTAGAGTAAAGGTGACTTGGACAGATTTTGTAATGCTGGTCTTGACTTTCCATCTTTGCAACCACCTATAGATGTGATCCAGGCCATTCTGGAGAATGGTTGAAGCCATGTCAGGTGTTTTATTACTAGCTAGCAATGCAGTATCATCCGCAAAGGTGGCTATAGTGACACCTTTCACTTCCGGAATGTCCGCTGTATATATGAGGTATAACATAGGACCGAGAATTGACCCCTGTGGCACTCCAGCTTTGATCTCATAGAATGATGATGTTTCTCCAGATCCCTTACCTGAAAGAGTCTTTGTAGCAGGTAAGATCGTAGTAGGAGGTAATAACTGTGTGACAGGTTATTCCTGATTTTATATAGTAGTCCCTCATGCCATACCCGATCGAACGCTTGCTGTATGTCAAGAAAAGCAGCCGAACAGTATTCTTTGTTTTCGAGAGTCATTCGAATTCTATCACAGACCCTGTGAACCTGTTCCACAGTTGAGTGTTGATGCCGGAAACCGAACTGGTGATCAGGAATAATTTTTTTTTGTGCAAGTTGAGAATGGATTCTTCGCAGAAGTATCTTCTCAAAAAGCTTGGACAAGATTGGAAGGAAAAATATAAAAAAATGTGCGCAAATAATAAAAAAAATGAAACTAATCATCTAATAGCCAAAATAAAAATAAAAAATCTTGCAGCTCTATCCAATAGGATTTAATCTCATCTCTTAGACTGGAAAATATTTCCAATTATATTTTAAATCTAGCATGTATTATTTTAGTTATATGAATAAAACATGTTCAATGCTTAAAGGAGGTATTTATTATTTTATTTGGCAGAACATATTATGAATATTGGAGTTGTATTAGCATTTGAGTATCAGTGTGCGGAGGGGGAAGGCGCGCGACGTTCTGGCGACGCGCATGGCGACGAACTACGGCGACTGGATGTCCCCGGACTTTTCAGACGCACCATCGTATCCAAATGACGGAATCTGTACATAGAAGCTGAAGTTATAATTCGTTGTAATATTACTAATACTAGTAAGCGGATGGCGCCCTTCGATGTTCGAAGTACATAAAGTGGCAATAGTTTAGTACAAACTGACAAGTTCACTTTTTGTGTCATAAGTTTTTTGTGGTTTACCAATGAATCTATACTAATAATATAAGTATGAATTTTCTGTCCTGTTCGTTTGCATTTTCACGGCTAAATAACTGACATTGATCTTAATAAAGTTAGATAGGTATATAGATAGCTATCTTAAAAAGATCACGTCGCGGATAACAGCCAGTAATAAATAGATTTAAAATTTAGTAGCCCGTAATAAATTCTGATGGGCTTTACGGTCTATATTACTATTTTCATGCTTTAGAATATCTGTTTGAAAGTATATGACATATCTATGACTTAATACAGTAATGAAATTAATGACGTTAGATAATATGTATATAGTGTATATACCCTACATATAATCACCTCCCTTACTCAAAGCTCACTGGAATTCTGAATTCTGAACTCCCACCTGCTAGTACGCAGGTAACAATAAGTGCGCGTAGTTGTATATCCATATCACTAAAGACTTATTAGTATTTAATAGAAACTTACCTCAATGGTAAATCGTTCGGATCATGATCAACGCTCTGGAAGAAGAACGCTAGTGGCCAGCTGATCCAAGAAGATTGTTTTCTGAAAATGATATTAAGAGATAAGTTAAATTAAGTATTATAGCATTTCCCTGCTTGAACAATAAAAATTGGGGGAAAAATACAGCACTCTATAATAGAGCTAAAAAGACAAACTAATAGTTTGAAAAAAAAAACCTTCAAGTTGACAAAATTGACCGCTTACTTTTAAGTTGGAAGTTATTTGAAGAATGAAGAAATTAAAATAGGTGCGGCTAGAACTTTCTACTTCTTTTTATGAAAATTGCGCGGACAGTGGGTATTAAATTTCAAACAAGTATAGTTTATATAGAGAAGAAGCAGCAAATGCTAATATTTTTTTAATTTATGAAAATTTCATAAAATTCTATTGTATTATTAAAAAAAAATTACACTATCATGTATTTTACACACACACCACGGACTAACAATAAAAAGAGTATATGCATACTCTTTTTATTGTTAGTCCAACAATCCAACAATAAAAAGAGTATATGCATACTCTTTTTATTGTTAGTCCGTGGTCAAATTGAGAATAGATTAATATTATTTGTCTTCAATATTAATAGTCTTACTGTGTGGTCGAACGGTATCGGTAAATTGTGGTCGAACTTCGACCACTGTGCTAAGAATAGTATGAAGAAATGAGGAACTGATAACCACAGTCCGAGTAGAATAGAATACATATAACAACACTAACGGTGTCGTTGGCTGCAATTCCGTTTCAGATGGTGTATCAGGCGTGGTGGGCACGACGGGCGGAGGGGAACAGGGCGACGTAGGAGCCGGTGGTGGTGTCTTGTTTATAGCTGGGTTGTAGATTTTGGGGTCGCTCACCATACGCACGAAGAATGAACGCTTGTGAGCCAACGCCGCGCGGTGTCTTCGAGTGCGCTCTTCGTTCAAATCCTGCAAATTAAAAACAAAAAAGGAGTGTTGGTAACGGTAGACATGTAAACTATGGTATAAAGGTAATCCTACAAGTAAGTATTGTTATTAGGGAACCAATTTGCGATACCCGCATTTGGCCGTTATGCCGACAGTCTCCCGAAAAGGATTTTATCGCTGTCTCTCTGATTATTTTTGGATAGTCAATGGTGTTTCTATCAACGGACAGTTAGGTAGATTATAAAACTGACATGCAAAGGGTTTTGGTTCGGCAACATTTGAATTCTAGAGCTATATGTCTAAGACCGAGTATCTAAGCACTTGACCACACCTCGTCCACTATATATACCTATAATTTAATTAAAATACAACTGATATTGATAAATAACAATATCCCTGGACAGACTACGCAGAGCCATTAGTCCCAAGTTAAGCCGAGATTGTGTTATGGGTAGCTACTAGACACCTGATATAAATAGTGTTATACTGATATAACATACATAATATAAATAGAAAAAATGCAGAACAATACAAACTATCCTACTCATGAATACAAATATTTGTACCGTGCGAGGAATCGAATTCGCCATTCGAAAAACCATCGGAAGTAAGACGATATGCGAGGCCGTCGTGAATCTAAGTCAGTCATTAAAGTATAGTAGTAAAACAGATATTACCTAATTACGGAAGCGACTATGCGATCTTGGAATAAGTTTATAGACTTACCCGTTCCTTATCTGGACCCTCTAAAAGCTCTGTAGCAAAGTCCGTTATGATATCCCATGCTATTTCTATTAAAAAAAAAACTCTAGTTAACAAATGATTTCAATAACATGTTAATATTAATTGTATTATAAGTTTTATTTGTATAACATTTTCATTATATATATTGCCTATGTAATTTAAAAATCATATATTACCAATGTCTTCCCGCGTAGCATGTTGTTGAACCACACAAAAACGAATCACAAATCGGTCACGTACCGATGCCGGGACCATATGGATCTTTCCCGACGCATTGATATTTGTAAGCAGCTTTTTGTTCATCTCATCAATCTGCTCATTCGTCTCATCTGGTCCTCCAACCAAACGGAAACACACCAAACCCAACTGGATAACGTAACAGAAGAAAATATTTTTTACTTAGAGTGGACTGCAATAACATTATATAATTGAATTATATATTAAATAAATACCTTTACTTGATTACAGACTTCGAAGCGATCGTCCTTTTTGACGAGTTGCTCGAAATATTTTGCCAATTCGCAATGCCGACGCACGTATTTCTGCAAACCACTAATTCCATAACTTCTCAGCATAAACCAAAGCTTCAATGATCGAAAACGGCGACTCAGTGGCACACCCCAGTGTCGGTAGTCAATTGCTGTGTGGTCATAACAATGTTGGAGATAGAGGGGGTCTACGACTAGTGCGGATGTTAATAGATACCGATTATTAACCCACAATAGTGAACAGTCAAAACTAGTAAGCATCAGTTTATTCGGATTAGTGTTGAAAGAATCAGCATACTCGATTCCTGCTAAATGGTGTTTATGTTCTGGACATAGAAAGGAGCTACCGGCATAGGCGGCGTCTACGTGGAGCCATACGGACGGGAATTTTCTTACAACAGGCCCTATTTCCGGTAAGTTGTCAAAAGAACAACATGAAGTCGTGCCTAACGTAATTGAAACAAAGAATGGCACGTGTCCGGCCTCCTCGTCCTCTTCCATGGCCTGCAAAAGAAATCGTAATATAATTATGTTCTGAAGTTCAAACCGATTGGAATAAAACAAACTGAAAACCGTACCGTAGTGCGCAGAGACAAACAAACAAACATTCTAACAATCATTGTTTCGGATGCTATTACATGAATAGTCTCCAAATTACATTTTTTCTTATATATCTTTCACACACAGCTAATAGTTACCTACGTTTAATTACACTGTATTTATATGTAGGTTTAAATGTATATATTGTAACTATGAAAGCATATCTGCCGATCTATTTATCAATTATTACTCCCTAATTATCTCAAAATTACTGTGTGAATGACGTCCAGTTTCCAGTCCATATATAGGTAGATGCCTACTTACGTATAAAAACACTCTACCCAATATAAACAGCCATACCCAATTAATACATATGTTTGTAGACATTGTGTAGGAATCGACCCTGCAATACCGAAAGTTGAGGCTGCGTATTAAACTACCAGGAGAGTAAAATTTCGGATAACAACATGCTTAGATAAATAAATACAAAAAGAATGTGTACGCTACGGTCTTTTATAATTTGTATTAAATTTTTCTAATTCATTTCGAGTTTGTAATTAAAGATTTCTCATAAGAGGGTCGTGTCGCGAATTTCAATATTTGAAGCATAGAAATGGCACACAATGCCGGTCCATTACCGCTCGGCTCGCCACGTATTTCCGGCATCCAAGCCCGAGTCATTAAACGGAGGATGGCGGCGCCCGACGCGCGCCGGCGTAGCTGGATGACTTTAGGCTTTAGCACCACCTAGCAGCTAACCATTCAATTACCGTCTAATTATCTACACCCCATGTTACGCTATCTTATTTTCTAATATCAATTACAAAATACGAAACATAAATAAATAATCGATAATAACTTAGATTTATGCAATACCGCAAAAATATCTTTAGAGTAGGTAAATGTTTTATTTGTTCGCCGTTATTATTTATTATTTACCCTATTTAAAAAAGAACCTTCTTCTTTCTTTAGTACCTACATGAATGACACATAATGATTTTGTATAGTTTTATCTATTTTTATTATATATTAGGTATAGTATTTTTTTCTTTTTATTAAATTTAAGTACCACATACTTCCTTTAATGTTTCTCCCCTGAGCGATCCATTTTCATCAGGCTGCAGAATTCGCAATTTTACGAAGCATATCATCGCAGCCTTCTCGACACACGAATGGGCTTCTTTAGAACAGTATGCTATAAGTTTTGAGAGCAGCAACCCCTCGTCCACAGTTGGAAATTGATGTTTTAATCTTTTGATGCCGTTTGCTCTAGCTGCCAGCATTGAGACAAGAACACATTCACTCGCTGATCCCTATAAATAATATTAATTATTGCGGTAGGTATCCTAAATATTAACTTTAATTAAAATAGTTTTTTTACAAATTATGCCTATTAGTATATCTTGAGGCCTATTAAGACGGGTGGGTATATTTATCCTATTAATCCACGTCGCTAGGTAGAGCATTGGGGATTATGAATGACGATTACATACTTAATGGTCAATCTTATGTAATTCTTCTGTACGTGTGTTTGTCACCTAAGTAATTAGTAGTAGTAATTAGTAAGTAATATATTTCTATGGATTGGTTGTAAAATATAATTGGATCCGGAATGGCAGCGCTGGTTTTCTGGGTGGGATGACGTTTACGGGTCGGATGTATGTAGTTGCAGATCACACATGATACATGATAATACATGATCGCTAATAGTAAACCAATGTTGGTGATTAACATTACAATTCGTAGGTTTTGTACTGCCGTGTGTTTGTATGTTAAGTAGATCATAAGTATAAGTCTAGTCCATTGAAGTCAGTTTTCTTATGAATTATCAGTAGGTACACACACTCTAGAAATATATTAAAAACGAAGCAAATAAGCAATCATACCAATCTGCGCGGTCAATGCGTGAAAAATGACCATTCTTACCGCTAGATCAACGAGTTCGTTTACACATAAAATTATAAATAAATTCAATAATTGTGTTTATAAAACTATACCGCAAATACTCCATCAAGTTAACGTTTACGTATTGGTTTCAAGAGTGAGAATATGGCAGACAAATTACGCAGGGGCACATATAGATATGATTTCTTCGGCGATGCTCATATAGGTGTCTATCTGCATAATCGAAGAATTATAAAAAAAGCAATGGAAAAACTTTGAGTATTAGATAAATACAATTTCTAATCTGATTTTGCATTGCCAAAATAAGTTTTAGTCTAATAACACTATGAGGTACGCACCTCTATTACTCCGCCACCTTTACTGCCTTCTTCAAGTGCTAAAAATGCCGGAGGAAGGCCAATTGCTTTGCCTGCAAAACAAAATACTAACTATTCATAATTAATAAGGTTATGTGTACAATTATGCTACTCTGTAGTATCTAGTACAATCTTTAATTAATGGAGTAATAGCCAAAATACACTGACTATTAGATATTACAATATAATCAGTATAACAACGGTACCAATTGAATTAGTATATCGCTATTATGAGAAAAACATCCATCGATTGCAAATCGGCGAAGAAAATGAGAGAATAAAAAAAGAGGACACATAAAAAGTAATCAAATGAAAAGCCTCTTTTGTTGAAAATTGCAAAAATTACTAACCCATCCAATCCAACATAATAATTTCCAACTCTGTGCATGCAGGACTCGCTGCCTGTAAATATACGAAAAGATTTAGTACACGTATCTTACAGTAAACAGTACCTAAGTAGGTAAGACTAAATAGTAACGTCTGCGTTTATACATACAGGCATTTCTTTATGTGTGACTAAGAATATATACTATTCGTAGAAAAAATCACTCATTTTGTAACTTTGGAATATTATTCCAACATGCACGTCATAATCTGGCTAATGCTTTCTTTATTTATTTGAAACTAACAAAAATACCGTACATGTAATGTAAAGAATCTACATCTTATACCACCCTGGGGGTGAACAGGGCTTTCAGTTTGACGAGTTATGTATAATTAAAAGAAAATATAATATACTAATATTAAAATAAACATCATGTCCCTAAAATATGCAGATGATGTTTTATGTAGGTACTTGATAATATCATATAAAAATATTTATAAATATAGTAATTTTACGTCATAATTTTAGCCAAGTATATTCCATGTCTCAACCGGGATTTACCTTTATTTACCTATTTGAGTTATCGCAGCGCCTGTTACCACTACACCTCTTTGAAATATTCTTTTATTAATTCATATGTACATTATTCTAAACGAGCATAGATTACTGAATATACTTCAGTACTTAATATTTACATTACTTCGGATGAAGAATAGAGCCGATATCTTATGAATACACTCATACTTAGTGACCGATCCATCAATGCCTGTCAAATACGAGTAAGTTCCTAGGTAGTCAATAATAGACTAACATAGATAAATATCAAAGCAAAATTGTAGTAGACAGTCGACTAATCTATGAATGTCGATTTACTTGAAATGTAAATGTTTATCAATATACACTATCCGATTTATACAATTACTACAGATACCTACGTAAAATAGTTATAATTACGTATGCCAACCAATTAGCAGTGTATTAAATAAAAAACGATGAAGTGAATCTATAAATTATAAATATACATACAGTGTATTTAAAAGTGCATAAATTTAAATTTATTTGAATAAGTAAGGAAGTAAGGAATTTTTTAATTTATCCTTTCTTTAAAGAGGAATGTTGTATAGCCACGATTGATTTCTCTGAAGTGTGTTACAAATCCCAAAAAGTTCACTGTGAACTTTGGTTTTATGGCACTTTAATATAACATAGTTTTACTTTTTTTTTATAACACAGGGGACAAACGAGCATGCGGCTCACCTGATGGTAAGTGATTACCGCCGCCCATGAGCACCCACAACACCAGGGGAATTGCAAGTACGTTGTCGGCCTTTTAAAAAGGAATAAGATCTTTTCTTGAAGGTTTCAATATCGTATCGGTTCGGAAATACCATTGCTGGAAGGTGATGCCACAATGTGGTTGTGCGGGGCAAAAAGTTTCTAGAAAACTGTACTGTGGAAGACCGCCATTCATCCAGATGAACAGGATGGTATTTCAGTTTCTGGCGGGTGGTACGGTGTTGAAACTCAGCAGCTGGTATTAATCCGAACAATTCCTCAGAACACTCCCCGTGATATATGCGGTAGAAAATGCACAGAGATGCAATATCTCGCCGCAAAGCCAATGGGTCGAGTCTGCCACATAGACGTTGATTACCAATGATTCTGGCTGCTCGGTTCTGAATGTGGTCAAATGGAAGTAGCTGGTATTGTGGTGCTCCCGCCCAGAGATGAGAACAGTATTCCATATGCGGCCGGATCTGCGCCATGTATAATTGCAAGCGATGTGCCGCCGTGAAATACCGTCTCACTCTACTGAGCACACCAAGCTTTTTTGAGGCTATTTAGCCTTGTCCTCCAAATGACCGCAAAACTGAACGTCACTGGATATATCAACGCCAAGGACCTCGAGATTTGGCTTCACATCAAGGAGAGTGTCTTGAAACTGAGGAGATACGATAAATGGAATCTTTTTAGCGGTAAACGCGCAAACTTGTGTCTTCTTGGGGTTGAATTGAACACAATTTTTCAGACCCCAAACCGAAACTTGATGGAGTGAAGTTTCGATTTCAGACACAAGTTTGTTCCGGTACTTTATAACTTTTGCCTGCGACATATTAGCATGGCCGCTGTACAAGGCATCTCCGGTACTGTCATCCGCATAGCAATGAATGTTGTTGACTTGTAACATGTCCTTGATATGCAGAAGGAACAGAGTCGGAGATAGCACACAGCCTTGTGGAACACCAGCATTCACAGAGTGTGGGTCGGAGCAAGCACCATCGACAACGATCTTGATGCTCCGATCAGCGAGAAAGCTGGCGACCCATTTGCATAACTTCGCAGGCAACCCAAGGTAGCTTTGAAAGAAGAGCCTTGTGCCAAACCCGATCAAAGGCCTTCGCAATATCCAGACTAACAGATAGGGCCTCCCCCTTACTCTCAATAGCCTCTGCAATAGCGGTTCACTTCTAGGTATCGTAGGAGTTGACGGTTGACAATCGACTGCATGATCTTTGAGAATAAGGAGGTGATGGCTATGGGCCTATAGTTAGCTGGATCTGAGCGTCCTCCCTTCTTAGGGATCGGATGAACCAAAGCCGTCTTCCAAAGTTTCGGGACTACACCTGTAGAGTAGCAGTACCGGCAAAGACGCGGACTTGTGGATATCTAGGGAGAAAAGCGACTTACGTACCACGTTACGTTACGTACTTCTTATTCACTTAAGCAATCATCATGAAATTAAGGAAAAAGTACCACTTTTTTTAAGTTAATCGTATGCATAGGCACGTCGATGAAGTTACTGGAATAATAATAATAATAATAATAATATATTTATTTGTCAGAATATGGTATGTACAATGGTGGTAAGTATATATAATATATGTTTCATCATATTCTGCTGTTTCCAGCGTACAAATATTAAATCAATCAAGTCATTATAAATTCTAAATATTACTCATTCACCATAACTTCTTACTTTAAAAACATTATGGAATATAATAGAGTGTCAATATTTCATTAATTGTCAACATTTTATTTTAATTCTAAATAATTCAATACATTGATACTATTTCGAAATACATCACAATCACATTACTAGCCGTTACTTGTCATTAAGAAATTCATCAATTGAATAATAACATTTTTCCAGTATCCATGAATATACACGTTTTTTAAAGAATGTGGTATTGAGACTTTTAAAATTGTCTGGTAATTTATTATAAATACGGATCGCCATGCAATATACATTGTTTGAATAAACGGTCAATTTCTGTCTAGGATTTTGATTAGTGCTCCTTTTGCTCAGTGTCGTGCTTTTCTGAAATGAATTTGTATTAGTATGAACAAATACACATATGTGATAAATATATAGACTGGGTAATGGTAATATCTTATTTGCTATGCATAATGGCTTGCAACTATCCCGCGTCTTGGCACAACAAAGAGATCTGAGCTGCTTTGTGCATTTCTTTTGTGTCTTAAATGCCCTATGCATTTCTACTGAGTTGCCCCATAAAATTATTCCATATCGCAGGTTAGATTCAACGTAGCCTCGATATGCTGAAAGTGCTGCTGAAAGTGTTACTGTCTTTGTAATACGATTTTGAACGTATACAAATTTGTCTAACTTTTTGCATATGGCATTAATATGTTCATTCCAACTACAGTATTTATCCATTACTATTCCTAAAAATCCTGTGGAGCCTACTGATTCAATTTTGTTTTTTTTATAGGATATATTCAAATCTATATCAGTTTTTTTTTTAGTTTGGAATTGAATTATCTTTGTTTTATTCATATTGATGTTCAAATTGTTTGTTACTAACCAGTCTATTACCGATATTAGTTGATTGTTTATTTTTGTTTCATAAGATATTTCGTTTTTATTCTGAATAAGTAAAGTAATGTCATCTGCATACAATACACACTCACAGTTAACAATGTCAGGCAAATCATTAATATATGGAAGAAAGGAGTATATAAATAAATAGTTAAAATGTAGACCTCAGACCAGAGAAATTTTATTTAACAAATACCTAGTAGTACCTACTATACTTACATATCGTACTGTAATATGTTCAGCTTGTTGTAAGCAAGTTACTTAATTCATTATATATATCTAATGTACCTAACATCTAATATCTATACAATTTACATAATAGAGATCTATCTCTATGCGTTAGTGACAAATTCCCCGTGTTAGAATTTCGGAAAGACATTAAGGACACAAACCTATTTGAAATTTTATTATCATATCACCCCACTACCTATTCCTAATGTGTCCATAATATTTTATGTATCTGTAATGTCTATCCATCATATCCGTGACACAATCCAGCTATAAGTAAAGTAGATCGTTAATATCCAGCGAATCAAGTACGGTACAGTGTAGAGTAACAACTAACAAGAAAAGTCCTGCTGAATTCGTATGATGTGCATTAGCGAATCATCATGTATTTACCATGGTAGGTTTATAGCGAAGTTACCATATCAGGTACAATGAATGTCAAGTCAATCTATCTCCTCCTCTTTTATTAGGTATCATTTTCCACTGATACCCGCTAGCCTACTTCTACCGTTAGCGCAGGCTTGTTATATTATTGTATCATGCTCAATGATTTTTAAAGATAAACATAACAATTAGTAATGCGTTTATTAGCTTATAGGAAAAATTCTAATTTTGTTGAATACCTTATTTACATAATAAATAGGGTTTAATTTTGATAATCGAATATGTAGGTATCCTATGGTCTTATTTTATGCTAATTAGAGGTGGGTTTTTAAACGAAATATATCTATATATCACAGCGTGTATCACAGTGATATGTTCGTCATTAAACCGTAATTTATATATATATGAAAATAATAATTAAAAATCAAAGATTGTGAAGTGTAGATAAAGTATAAGTATTCTTTATTCAAATAAATATAATATATTTTTATTCATGATTAGGATATTTATATGCTAAATTAGACAAAATCATGAAAATTGAGACTTAACAAAATTAGTTAAATTAAGTAAACATTTAGATACAAATAGAATACAACGTCTCTTATCAGACTTTTCTTTGAGAATCTTAGAAGTTGAACTCTTTGAGAACAATGAACTATTTTGCTGAATTAATAAATTCCTCTAGCTTTACAGATTTGTAATAATTCGTGAGGCAATGAGAAATGCAAAGAGAACATTCAAAGCAGCTATGTATTTGGAATGTAACTTTTATATCAAACAGTAAAACATTTCAGATTCAAAAATTTCCTACACAAATACTCAGGGGCGACTAAGCTTTACACTTCGTGCCTTTATTTGTTTTATAAACTCTTGGCAAAAAATAAAGTTTTGTCTTTTTGATATGAAGTTGATATGAAAAAAAATGTTCATATTATTTAAAATTCTATATAGGTTTAAAAATTTGGCGATTGAGATATTGTTAAAAAAAATCTATATATAACTATGTAATTTTATATTATCTGTGATATAACGAACATGAAATGAATTAAATTTATATAAATTATCAACATTGAATTACATACATCGAACGAAAACTACATTTATTCCTAGTTTCCCTCTCTGTCAATTATTAATAAAAAAATAAAGAAAATACGACGACATAATAAACAATTAGGTATATACAAAAATTATGATTAAATATCAACAATGTTGGTATACATACTAATATACATACTAATATACATATTTGCCATTTTATAATTCTTTATGAAGAGCATTTTTAATTTGTCGCAGTTTTTGGGGCTGGGGCTTACGTCGCCTATACCTTAAGCCGTTTGCGCCTCTGCAAAACAATGTCTTGAATTCCATCTATCACTACAACAAAATTCATCATAATCATTTTAACGATTTGTTTATGTAAACAAACAAATTTTGTTTTACATTAAAACAGACAAATGTGCTTTAAATTTTGAGAAACTAATATTCTAAATGCGAATGGATACGCATTTATTATATAATATTAGTTCACCAAAATTTATGATTTGTTGTCTAAATAAGAATTCTATGCAAAGCAAACAACAACTTGATAGAGTGATCTATATTTTGTATGGCTTCATTTGGTGGTTCCTGAACAAAGTTACTTGTTAAAATAAATTGCCTAAAGACGAACTGAAATGGACTAAAAACTTATGGCTTATAAGGTTATCAAACGTCAAATTGTTATATTAAAACCAATAAATTACATTTCCCACCTTTTCAAAATATAAATATAGTTTTAAACTCTCCTTTAACTCCATACTTCTTAGTTTTTTCTCAAGTTTAATATATGTCTTCCCGCTTGTTTCAATCGCTATAAAGATCTTTTGAACAAAGAAGTATCACATCCAGAAGCTATTTTTTTGTTACGTTTATGACTTAACAACCTCAGCTGGTAGAGATTCCACTACGTTTATGCCAGCTGATAATTTTTTTATTCAATAAAATAATATCGGACGAATTTTGGAGTGACAGGAAATCATAGAATATTTTTTTACATGTTCATGCTAACAGCTAACATATAATCCACGCCATAGCCAGCTGACTATATTTTATATTCAATATAAGATTTCACAGCATTCTGAACCGGGAGTAAACGGCAGAATTTTTTTAGATGTTTGCGAGGGTGCTGCCCTTAAACCCACCCTGGAGCACCCTTCTTCACCTTCACATATTTCGATTAGGAAGAAATAAATGACTAAATTAGCTTCTGACTCGGGAGCTATAAAAAAAAATTTTACCATATCAATTTGTACCTTCCTATATTTCTATGGAAACATTTTATCTCATCTGAAAATCTGTATAAGTTTAAGCCATGTTTGTACGAACGAACAAGAGTTGTTAGATGCCTTATTAATATTGATAGCTTATTTGTTTTTGTTGTTCCTATATTTAAACCCTAAAACATAACAAGCCAGTTCTAATAATGAAAATTAATAAGTAATTACGTAAATATTTTTGATTATACTGATACATTTTAAAAAGATAAGCCGGTAAAATGGAATACATGGAATAATGATTTTATTTGATTTAATTTGATCAGGTATAACTATTAAAATCTACAGGTAATGCAGGTATTCTGTAACCTACTACAAATGACTTGTAGCTACGAGCATCCGCTATTAACATAGTATATACCTAAGTAGTATCGAATATTTCTGTAAAATAAACCTTCACTGATATTATATATTTGGAAGAGTGAGTCTGTATACTACTAAACTTCTGGAATAATTTAAATAAGGCAGATAACATATATTTATTATATTCATGGGCATTAGCCCATGAATATAATAAAATACAAGTACACCATCGTAGCGCAAGTTATCGTAGGTTATCCTCGTAGCGGTATTAAAATAAAGTAACAATAACAAAAAAATAACTTTTAATACGTCTCATTATTGCTAAAGTTAAGTGCAGCAATCTAAATTAAATTATATTACGATTAAATAAAATTTACCCATGAGAATCCAATGCATCCGATACCCGCTGACAGCATATCCCCAAGAATGGACGGATAGCCGTTACCCGAGGGGAAATACGCATGAAAACGTGGGTGCTGCCAGTGCGTGACTCCTGGCATGATTTTATTCTCTACATCATTCATCACGTCATCCCAATTTTCGGGATGATGAGGCGCCTCAGCCGGCAGTGCTGTCCGCAGATATCCCGGTTCCACAGATGGGGTGACTCGCCGCGTACGCAACGTAGTCATGTACGTGCAAATATAGTCCACCATTTCCTTCCCTCTTACTCGAAACTCTTCTACGTCCATCGTATAGTTTGATCGTTACAAGTGATATTAGGAATTAACTTTGTCGTGTAGCTACGGTAGCTGCAGTGTCAGCGCCGCGACGGCCTCCGGCTGACTCGACGGCAACGTAACCACCATCCCGGTTGGTCGAGTCAAGAGGGCGGGTGGTGAGACGCGCGGCGGCGCGGATGAAGGCGGGCGTGAAGGCATCGCGAACGGCCGCGAATGGCGAATCATAAAGGTATCACTTTATTGCATGCGATAAGCGATTAATACGTAAATGGTCAAATCATTGGCTTAGGTGTATGCAGTTTAAATCCTCGCTTTTGATATGTGAAAGTGAGATTGCTTGTTTTTATTGCTACTTTATACCATCATACATAAAAGAAAGTAATAATATGCTCAATAGGTTCTTATAAGTAAATAAAATAAAATCTTATTATTTTACTTATTTAATACTACTTATACAAAAATTATAACTCGCCTATGAAATACGGGTGCTCTAGGTTTATTATCCCGTCTTACAGACAATAGGTCGAGAGTTCAAAACTGGTTGACACTAAAAATTATTTGACAGTTTTATGTTTATGATTGATTTTGTAGTAAAGGATACACAGAATAGAATAATATAAAAAATATCTCACCAAAATTTTTTGTGAATATCTAACAAATAGTTAGGGGAAGTCCGGGAGAGTTGAACCGCCTTTAGTTTAAAGTATCGTATTTTCTTATAAATGAGGCTTAGTGATTCAATTATAATAATAAACAGTAGCTTATTTATTAAGCATAATTACGTTTTCTATATTATAATACTGAAACATGTTACATACATTTTAATGAAAAATGGGATATGAGTCAACTCTCTCCACCCCAAGGAACACTTGAACCGGGGTCTGGGGAGAGTTAAACATTGCTTTTTAAAGGGGAAAAACATTTTGCAGCATAAGTTACAGATATATTAAACAAAACATCCCAAAATGATGTTAAAATTATAAAGAAACACAGTTATAAAGAAAAAAAAATTGCGTGTTACTTCAGAAGGCTAATATCAAAAAGGCTAAAATTAACCTGTGAGATAAAATAAGATTAAACATTAAAAAAAAGAAACAAAATACAAATAGGACTCGCCTGTTAAGGTTTCCGAATAGTCAATATATTTTAATTTTCTACATCTATAAAATAAAACTATAACTGTATGTAATACTGTTAATACCACTGAGCATATCTCCCGCACCCGCCATGGTGCAAGCCTCCCGCATATACTACTTTGATATTAAATTTTACTCCCAGTAAAAACAATCAGTCTTAGCAGAAAAACACTTAGCACACGTCTAACTTCAATAATCAGGCAGTACAATAGTAATAACACACAATACATACCTCTAAAAATAGGGTCGAAAACTCAAAATTACATAAATTAATAAAACTTACTCCGCTGTGACAAAAACTTACTACTAACTTTTCGAACCTGAGAGTCAAACAAACCGGCTTTAAAAAAATGGCGGTATGACCAACATACCGCCATTTTTTTAAATCGCCTCTCAGGTTCGAAAATGTGTTTGGCCTCCCGTGCCCCAACAATGACCGTCTTGACGTTTCATTAGAGCTTAATTTAAGTTGAGTTTTAAAAGATGGTTCAACTCTCCCACCTGAGCAAATCTCCCGGATTTCCCTTACTAATTATGGTTGGCTCGCCCCTTGCCATATTCGATTTAATTATAACAATCGAAATGTGGGCATGGCAAGTATTGTACTCAACATAATATCGACAGTTGACAGTTCTGACTACCTCGTCTGACATAACAGGCATGACGGTATATTATTATTATTATTTCTAAACTTCAAAAAAAAATCTCATCTCCCCTCTTAAGGAGAGGAGATGGCAACTTACCCCCGGCAGAAGCACAGTCGGCCGGGGTTCAGGGCTGGAGCCCTGAGGAGAGCACCGCTTTCTGCATCTTTCCCGGGAGTGAGCCGCCTCGGAATCCCAACCGTCTGAGATGTCAACCAGTCTGGAGCAACAGCTCCAGATATGGTTGAGATAAGACCGTTCACCGATATAACGATTGGAATGATTTCGGTGGACACCACCCCCACATTTCGGTCACCTCGCGAGCCAGGTCGAGATATTTTCTCTTTTCCTCAGTTTCGGCTTTCATGAGGTTCTCGTCATGCGGCATCGTGATGTCCACCAAAAACACCCTCGAGAGTGCCCGATCCATCACCACGATATCAGCTTTGTTCGCAAGAACGGTCCTGTCCGTGATGATGGATCGGTCCCAGTAGAGCCTGACGCTGTCGCTTTCGAGGACCGGATGGGGCTCGTACTTATAGTACGGTATTATTATTGTAATAAGGTGGTACAAAAACTGAAGCTGTGACTTGTCTATTTTTGTCAACAACGCTGCGTTCGCTACTATATGCAATACCTACATAATATATCTGTGGTATGCATCTTCATAGCAGTCGGTCGTCATCGTCGGCCGCAGGGTCAATGGTACCTACATGTACATCGCCCGCCCTCGATGCCACTTAATTATGTCAGCTGAATGCGTCTCATCATTTATGTCATGAAAAATTTTACAGGTTCAAATTTTAATTTATACCGTGCTGTGCAAAAGTGAATAGAAAATCAATAATTTTAAGATGTAGTGTAAATAATAATCGACTTCGTTCAGTTTTCAAAAGAAAATAGAATAGAAAATTATAGGTTACGACGAGAATAAACTGCAACCATCATTAAAGTCAGTACAGTAGTTAACTTACGAAAAATGGAAATAATTATTTGGATTTAGTGCAATACGTTATTTTGGTGTAGGTAATATCAACCAGATACCAGAACTACCTTTTAATCTTCATAAAATGTAAGTCTTAATATATAGACACCTTACTGCTTTTGATACACGTAAAAGACAATTTTGCTAAAAGAATATCACAATCCTTGTACAAGTCACAAAGATATAACATAAACTGTAGGTCCTCGAAAAAGAGCATTAAGGATTTTTTTAAGTCGGTTAGAAAAAGCATACCTAGTCAAATGAGGAATTCTCGCCAAATATCTACCTATTTTTAGTTAGGTATTGAATACCTCGATCATTTTATATATTTAACCATTGCTGAAAGTGAAGGAGGTACCCTGTTCTTTAGACAGTTCATGAATATTCAACCTGGAGCTATGGACATGAATTGCCCTTTTAACTTAAAATGAACACTTGACATAATACCTCCACAGACAATTTATTTAATTGTGTTTATAAAAGATGGCTTGGTAGATTTGAACAAACATTTTTTATTTCAGTACATTTAATTTCAACGTGAGCTACTATGTTTAAATAATATTTGTCACATTTTTACTATAGGTATGTATATACCTACATATAATAAAAATGTAACAGATCGCTGTCTATACATGAAGATGTAAGAAAAACTATAATTGTGAGATTATGTTAACGTAATTAATAGAACCCATTGGTGAAGCAATGGTTCTTAAAATATTTCTAATATTTAATATTTCGCTAATCTCAGAAACAGCTTAACAGTATGCAGTTTTCTCTAATATATTGTCATAAAACTTTCTGTTTGTTAAATTCCAATCGATTTATTAACAAACACAAGTCGCAGGCTCAACTAGCTCGGTCACATTTACCTACATTTTTATTTAAAACTCTCATTGTTTTGGAAGTTAAGAAATTTACTAGTTTTCAAACGAAAATACACCCCTACCAAATTAATTATTGGTCTCATTATTTTAAATTACAGATTATTCAATGCTGATCATATTTATATGTCTCACATATTGTAAATGAGTACGATCCTGATCCAACATTGCTCTTGAATATAAAGAGACCCACTCGAGAAACCCTCTTCCCATTTCTTTATCGTTTATTTGAGTTATATGGCCTGTCAATTTTCATTGGTATGATCATCCATAGATTAACATTTTACTAAGTATGTAAAGTCAGTCCTAAACGATTATTATAATTGTTTTGTAAGTACTTTTCTGATACAAAGTGGTAATCGATGCCTATGTGAATAATTAATATTGTATTCATTATCCGAAATCTAATTCCTTAAATGAATTGAATAACTTTTGGAAAGAAGTTTCAAGTCTAACAAATATATTTTTTTGAATAGTAGATTGAACATTCCTCAAAAAATATATAATAATCTAGAATTAAAATCCGTATTCTTCAAATCTAGACCAACAATTTACCACCAAATCTTGGACCTTTCGCTGTATATAATTGAAATACCTAGCATATAATGACCATATGCGATCTAGGCACTTGGTTATATATTTCTTTGAAGTATCGTGTATTATACTTACTTATATATATAACATATATATATATATACATGAATCAACTCAACAATCTGTTATCTTGTAGGTACATTTATCAAATAAATTGCAGTCAATACTGTAATAAAAACCCTTTCACATCGAATAAACATGATGCTATTAAACAGGCAATAAATATTTAAAGCAGCTTTTATGCTTATTTCAGTTTAGTTTATGTGTATGATAAAAATAAATTAAGCAGCATAATTTCATGAATTAGGTTATAATTATATTTTTTCAAAGTAATTTTTCTTTATCTAGGATAATTTCTATCAATAATTTTGGCTACTGGTTACTGCTAAAATGAATGTAACTAAAAGTAACGAATATATCGTATTTTCTGAACTTTCTTAATATTATACTTATATTTTACTATTTCCTATTTACCAATTTATCTTAGGTACAGCAATATATGTATACAATATTTTTGAGAACAAGTAGGAGAGCCAGGCAGTGTTAGTCGATTCAGTCTATATCTAATATTTACGTAATTACTAAATTCAAATCTAACATTTTTAATTAAAACTTTGTATATAAACTATAAAATTTATTATATAAAGTCCTTACTTGAGACTATTTTACAAAAGATAAGACCAAAATACAAAAGATATCGCATTACTAGCAGACGAAGCCGCGTACGTGTCTGTGTACTTTAAATTATGTCAAATATTGTAAAAATGATATGAATACTGAAAAATCAACTGTCTAATAGAAAATACTGTGTTCAGTGAAGCGGGCAATGTGAGACGTAATAGCTAAGGCGTAGAGTTGGGTCCTACGCTCCGGGCAATACGGTGCGCCGGCACGCCAGGCAGTCGCCATCCGCAACGGAACGCACATTCTTCCGCACTCCAGAATGCCAATGCCATATTATTATGTCTGATATCCACCCCTATTGTTGGATATATATCTATGAAACTCCTCTATTGACATCTTTATTCAGACCTTGCGATGCAGCCCACGTACGTAAGAATTATTCAATAGTATTTAAATTTTTATATACCTAGACGCTAGTATAATTTTAGTATAGTTTTTAAACATCGAATTATGTTCTATATATATGTTTTATAAAATAATAATTTGAATTCGTATTGAGAATTGATTATTTTTTGTGTTTCTTCTTCGCAAGATTTGTTTCTAGCCGTAATTATCTATTCATTTTCCAGTGAAGTTAACTCAGACCACTTTTTATCTGAAGAGAAAAAAAATGTATATATGTGTATTCTATTACCTTATCTATGACAGTAGACTTGTCCAATAGGTATTTTGAAAACTAAACAGTTCTTGTACATGTACAAAACCACAGATACAATAACTTTCTTAAAAACCTAACGTGAATATATAGTTAGTATAAAAAAACTTAACAATTGGTATAAACGTACGTCTTTTTTGCAAGTAATATATTCTGTGCACATTTTTTAAATGCGGCATTTGTGGGGGAAGGCCTTGCTTACCTCGTCAACACTAAAACAATTTAGGTGCTCTTTCCATAATTTAATTCTTTGCTTCTGCTCCCGAGGCGACATTTCGCTACAATTATTGGACGCAAATTGACTTACTGTGCAGTATTTTTTATTTAGATAAATGTTATTTGAATTATAAAAGTACCAAAATGTATTTTTAGAGCACAATTCCGACTTTGCTTTGTTGGGATTGCTATAAGATTATTTGGTACTCATAGATTTAACCTAAGAATAATAATAACTTCAATTATTTGGTTACTTGCTCATTAAGTCAAACTTGAGTAGGTATAATAAGGCGGAGAGCGGTAAAATGAAAAAGTTTACAACATTACTTTGTAAGTTATAATTTTATACTAACAGGTAGGTATTTAAGTAATTAAATTCACTCAATTAGAAACATAAACTATACCTAATTAATCGTTATTTCTAGTATGTATGGATATATCTAAAAATTAATTAATTATTCTCATTTATTCGGTTAACATAATTTTCTAAAGAAATTGAATAATCTTCTTCTAAATCATACTTTCAATGAATTTATCTATGTCTATTTGTAAAATAATCAGTAAAGATAGCCTAAGGACAGGCAGAGACTACAAACTAGTTATAGATAATGTTGTAATGGTTATATACTACATATAACATAGCAATTAAGCGCATAATGAAGATGTAAGTATGTAATATTACTTAGTTTTTGTAATGAGGTGATATTATAAAAAAAATAGGAGAATAAAGTCGCGGATTTTACGTACCTACTAGTACATGTTAATACTCATCAAGAACTGTTATATTTTCCATAACTTAAGTCTTTTTTTGTTGTTAAATTATACATACATTAAAGGTCGATCTTTATTGGTCCAATAGTAAAAAGCAAACAGCATCGCCCACTCACGACATCCGCAATCGATTACGACATGATAGCGTGGATTGAAGTAGATGTTCTCGATGGATCTTGAAGGAAATAAAAGGTGAAGCTGTGAAGAAAATAGACTCGTTGAAATCTAATTTCGCGTAACCATAACGGGCAGACACTTGAGAGCGATGAGCCATCCGCGGCAGACGCCCAGCTTATATCAATTCCTTAATTGAGGCATGGCTCCTTCGCTCGAGCGAGCTTTCTGAAAACATACAGTTCTACCAATCTTTAAGAATTCTTTATCGCTCACTGTTGAAAGCGACCTACCCTAGACTTGAGATTTATTTTTATTATTAATTAAAGAAAGGATTTATATTTAGGACTGGTTATGAACATCGTGAGGTAAATACCTAGACGTGGAAATATTTAAATATTTCTAGTTTTTCTTCATTATTCAAAGAATATAACTATTGCTGAAAATGGTAAGTATTTATATTTTCTGTATTTCGTTTTTAAATACTGTATTTTTTATTATTTTTGGAATAGTAAAATCTGCCTACGCTAACTGCATACGCTGGCCAGCCAGTAGTAGAACATGACGGACGAAGATAAAATGATAAATGGTTAGTACCCCATTGTGATAAATTCATTATAAACAGGACAGTTTAACAGTGTACCGCGTGATCTGCCAGAGTAGGTACAAGAATAGAATCGCTGCATACTTATTACTAAAAACAGTTTTATACGTAAATGTACGCGTAGGGCAAAAGCTTCATAAGTATTAATGGTATTAGCTATGACTGCTTACATTATAGCACAAATATTGTAGTAATTTCATAACGTAATTATTTATTTCATCTTCATTGCATGTGATCCAAATATGTTCAGATAGTTTTACATTTACCTATAAATCACACCAATACTGTATATATCTGTCTAACTAAATCTTAACCTTTATTTTAAACCAAGATTAATAATTTCATACTATTTAACCTATTGCTCGTTGGTCGTTTCCTCGTCAAATTCGATGTCTGCACCAACTTCAGGAATATCATCGTCGTCAATCCCTGATTGTACCAGTGAATAAGGACCTTCGTTACACTTGGGCCCATCGCAAGAGAAATTGTCGAATTCACAATATTCTCCTAACACCATCTGAAATAAAAACAAATGTATACCCATATGTACTTATTGTAATAAACAGATATATTTTGTCGCAGTGGAAATGCCATGTATCTCAAGTCCTATAATTTTTTTCGGAAATACACAATACTCATTAGTGGTTACCTACGTAGTTTCGTAGTATTTTTTAAATCATTGGTTTGACAAACAAGGGGAAGACGTACCTGGTGGTAAGTAGTAACTGGTGCCCATATATGTAACTACACGTATAACCATATAACCTTAACCTGTAGCACCTGGCATATCGCTCGCATTTTGCCATTCGGGAGGACTGAGATTCCATGCCTCTTATCCTGCAATATCACTGCCTTCAACCGAAACATATCTTACAAAGCAACCTGCATGGTAGCTGAAATTTGTGTCTTACTGAATGAGGTGTAGATACCCCACATCTATGTATCTCTACACGATTTTTTACAATACTACACTTTAGTAGTTTAGTACAAATTAGTAGTAGTTTGGACAATACTATAGTTTGACAGAAAGTAATGTGTAATTCGTAACAACACTTTGCAATTTGTATAGTTAAACAGCGACATTATTGTTTTTCTTCTAATTGGGTATTATTTTGTGGAAGTTCATTTCATTTCGGTCGCAGTTTGGTCGCCGAAATATCAACAATATTCAATGCCTGATGATGTCTCGTTTAGAGGCAAACAGATGTCGTAGACATAAGAATATGGCTTTAGACTTAATAACGATCGGAATTTAATCACCAATAACGTCGTTATGCTTCAGTAGCGGTAGTCAAGTTTCCGCTCTGAATAAGTGTGGTCACACACATGCTAATGGTAACCGAATTAAACAAACTAATATAAAGCCATTAAGTAACGACAATTTTGTTAAACACACGGTTTCTAATTTCACCGCACTTCTTATTTTTTAGTAATTATCTAGTGCCTAATATTATTTATTCATTATATAAAAACAGAGTAAATTTCATTAAAAATGGCAAGACAATTGTGACATAAAATACTATAGGATGAGAACAACAAGAAATTGCTATCTCTAAGTATAAGTGATAATTTTAATTGGAGAAGATTGACTAATATCGATATACTCTTGATGAAGATGAAGATCAAATGAAACTGTATAGACCAATAGGAATACTGCGAAATAATGCATAATTAGTAGTTAATATACCTTTGTGGGATTTTCAACATCAGGAGTATGGTCACAAAGGCAGCGTCCACATACACACTGTCCGCGTCCAGAACATTGTTCGCCTTCAGATACTCCCGGCGGGTGGCAATTCTGATGTACTTCTAACTCAGTTTCATTAGAATTAGAGCACGCGCATACTGCATTCTCTTCCAAGCTAACTGGAAATATTATTCTATCAGAATATTATGTGTCAATCTTCGAAAAATAGGCGATTTGATCTATATTTCAAGCTAGTAAGTCTAAGTAAGCACTTCAGCCAATATTACTGAAGGTTTAGAATATATAAGTAAGTATATGCAAATATTTTTTTTAAGTAGTTACCTAGGCTTATACTTATATCTAAACTGATCTATAAAAAAAACTAATGTACAACTGATGATACCTGCAAGTGTAGGTCGCAATTTTTGTATTAGTAATTATTAATTATTGTTAAATTCAAATTCAAATTCAAAATATCTTTATTCATGTAGGTCTATTACAGACTCTTATGATATGTCAAATCTACCGTCAGTTCGGAATGATATTGAGATGAGAAGAACTGACAAGAAACTCAGCTCGTATTTTTTTTCAAATAATAATGGAACATGTTTATGATAAATACAGTTATTAAAATTCAAATTTGGGAGAATAGAGTGACCACCAGCATATGCTATCGCAAAGAACAAAAAATTTAATCAGTGTTCACAACCTGAACAGACCAGTCCCCACAAGCAGCACCCGTTCACGAGTATGACGTATGAGCCAGCCATCATTGTACTCAACCATATTTGAGGGAGCACATCGACCCGGCTCACCACGCCGCCACAAGTTTGAACTTTATAGCGAGCATGACTGTTTCAGGTTACTCCACTACATCAATTATATTATTTACAGCATAGGCTGTACCGATCACAGTTTTCACCCATTACAATATTAAATTTACATTATTTAATTTACAATATGTCATTACAAAATTTATAATAAGTTTCTTTAATGTTATTACATTATCCATGTCAATGGGAAAAATTATATCATAACAAAAGTTAAAATTGTAATTAAGTCCACACATTGTATAGTCATTTAAGTAGTTGTTAGAGCAAAGTGTTTTTTTTACATGTATCTTAAATTTGGCTTCACTTAAATTTAAAATACTATCTGGCAATTTATTATAAAAACGTATACAATGTCCCATGAAAGTTGTACTTACTTTTTTGAGACGATAACTAGGCATATTTAATTTATTTTTATTCCTTGTATTAAAAGCGTGTAAGTGACTATTTTTTGGAAATAAATTTAAGTTTTTGCGTACATACATAATATTTTCATATATATATTGAGAGGGAACAGTAAGGATACCTGTTTCTTTAAAGCGTTCTCTAAGAGATTCGCGACACGGTAAATTATATATTGAACGAATTGCTCTTTTTTGTAATATAAAAAATGATTCTACATCAGCCGCTCTTCCCCACAATATAATACCATACGACATTATACTATGGAAGTAACTAAAATACACTAGTTTTGCTGTTGCAGTATCAGTCAACTGCCTAATTTTTCTGATAGCAAAAGCAGCCGAGCTTAGTCTTTTGGCTAGTGTGAATATATGTGGACCCCACTGCAATTTATTATCTATTACAATACCAAGAAACGAAGTCTCATCAACAAAGTCCAAAACATGATGATTCATACTAACAGTTGTCGTTACTTGTTTTACGTTTGGTAAAGAGAATTTAACACATTTTGTTTTCATTGAATTAAGCGCTAGATTATTTGATGTAAACCAGTTTAGAACATCCTCAAGAGCAATATTTATATTATTAAAATCCTTTGTATTTCTTTTCACTTTGAAAATAAGTGATGTGTCATCAGCAAACAATACTATGTCAAGTATGTTTTGAAACTAAATTGTTAAAATATAATGTTCAATTTCAATTCACAATATTTCAAGTTTAAGGGACTACCCGCTTCGGCCGTGCTGTGCATTTATAGATCATTTATTCAGTCAGGACTTTTATGTAAAGTTAAATTAAATTAAAATTGAGATAGTTTTCAGTAGATCTGCTTACAAACATATAAAAATGTTTGTATCCTACGGTAACTTCGCAATTCTGAATTAATTTTAATGGTGCTATAATTGATTTTTATACTGATTTTTTATATTTATAGGTGAATGTATTTTAATTTATATTTTGTTTTAATTTATATTTTAACTTAATTTAATATTAATTTTTGATATTATTTGTATTTTATTTTTGTGTGTGTATTTTGTGTCTGTAGTCTGTACGTACTAACATTAATTATAAGAAATCTGTAATACTAACAAAGTGGGCAATTAAGCCTGATATTAAATACATTATTATTATATAATATATTATCTAATGGTTAGAGACAACTCTACGGTAGAGAGTTAGCCTACGCTAAATCCATTCTAATTAAATTAAAACTGGGAATTCTATAGAAAATGTGTTTTCTATGATTATTCATCTAGTTAGTGCAAAATTAGGGACAATAATAACTCACATCCGAAGTCATTGTGTTCTATAGCATCGTTAATGCAAAAAGCATCGAAATTAGGTAGTTTCTTTGAAAAGCATTTGTTATCTGTGGGGCACCAAGAACACTGACTTAAACGTAAACAGTCCACGCATGATTTCTTTACGTTGCACACCCAACTTTCATCGATAGCGAACGCATTGCGAGTCCAACTTGGCGTTACGTATAAAGACATTAACCAAATTTTAAAGATAATTAAGAACATTTTCATAATTATTTGATATTTAACCAAACGGGCACTTTACTAATGGATATGTGTATATTCACTGTACTACTGATTTGTAACCGATACAAGTAACCATGACATATTTATATCGCAATAGATAACCCCTATGCTGTACTTTAGCAATAATGTAAATAAAATGTCCTCATTTTAAATCAGCTCTATAAATCGATAGAAAATAAACCTCACATACCTCTAGGTAAGTACAATATTTTAGACACGTTAAATGTGTATCAGAGTAGATAGTTTAAACGAAAAATTTTATTCCGAGGAAGAAACCTGATAGCAAAATTGATACGAAATTTATACATCTTTATTTATACCGAATCATAAATATAAACATCTACAGCACTAACAACAATATTTCGAACCTACTACATAATTAGAATCTCATAAATTGTGTATTACGTATATATTTATAAAAAAAGTTATCTAACTATTTATATCAGTTGTCTAGTACCCAAGTATCCATAACACAAGCTCTGCTTAGCTTGGGACTAGATGGCGTTGTGTGAATTGTCCAGGGTAATTATTACAATAAATAAATTCATATAAAAAATTACATCAATATCGAGAATTTCTTACTGATGTAATATTTTCTTCGCACCATACTGTGTTGTATTTACTAGTCAATGGCACAGTTTGAATCAGTTTGTTAATTTAAGAGTCTATTCCTGTCATTAAAATTTCTAAAAGAGGAGATATAACCAAAACAATTGCTCTCAAGTTTGGGCTATAAGAAAATCTAGTTGCGCATGTTTGAGTATATTTGCAGAGGCATCTAAGATATGCCATTATTTTCATTAGCATACTAAATGTTTTCTCCTGCATTGCTTGGAATATGTGAACTCGTACCTAAACGGTTCGTCTTGCAGCATCGTAGAGATATTTTTACTTCTATAGTACGACATACCTACCAGGAAATCGCCAGAAGACTCGACATTGCCGCAACGTCTCCATAGCAGATAAACTTTCTGTAGAGTCAGTGATCTTTCTCATAGTCAACCTAGGCACACAGGTTAACAGCGATTACTTGGTTTTCTGCACACCAAGTAAAATTATTGTGTATATTCACTTCAAAATATGACCCGTGGTAGGATATTATTTAATGGGTAACACTTGAATGGAAGTGCAGGCGGGGGTACCGTCTGCACTACCGGTATACGCTGGCGGGGCACATTTGAAGGATGATTGGATGAGCATTAAGTCAGGACAGTTATAAGCGTGATAAACAGCGTGGTTAACTCAGCAGAATTCCCAGTTTCCTGGAGGTACCGTGTGAAGGTCTACCTGATGTGGAATATATCTACAACCACTTCCTTCCGTGCTGAGGGTTGAACTCATTAAATCTACGTGGGACGTTGTGGTGACTTTTAAAACTTTTGCATTTTAAACTTCAAATAAGAAGCGTTGATAGTTATTTAATAGATTATATATCTTATTCTGAAAAGAAATACCTTACCTACAAATAACCAAACTGTACAAAGGCCTGTAAAGTTCTTCCAGTGAAGAAGACTGAATTGAAAATATTGTAAAACTTCAGGTATAATATTCAAGATTCACGAATCTCTAAGTGAACACGGGATATTCCTTATTCACTTAGTGATTCCTAATGTTTAAATTATTTTAAAGCCATCAATATGTACACAGATGGTGAATGATGGAGGTACTAGAAGAGTTTAGACATTTTAAAAAATATATAGGTTGCAATGCGAAGGATGCATATACTTGGCTAGTCTTCAATCTCCGAAAGAATAGACGCTATAGTGTTTCAATTTTTATAACTTAGCTTCATCCTAATGATTGTCCCAGGAATTTTTATTCAAATAAACGAATATTTTCCCACGACCACTTTAACGTTTTTTTTTTAATCCAGCACGCTGTTTCCGTCAAGAAAAAAGAGTCGCGAAGTCTATAGATTCGGATTCTTCGCAATTTTAAAGCATGTATAAATAATACTACGAGATTACGTTGCAATATTTATTTAAGCAGCCGGTGTCATATTAAATAGATTGCCCACTTTAATATAACATCGGACTTATTACTTACAATAGAAAGACATACATACTACAATAGAAATTAATTTAAAGTACCCACTCAAAAACACTGTAATATAAAACATATTCATAAAATTAAATATATATTTCTTATTAAAATAGATAATTTACACAAAAAAATTATTGTATTTTTTTAAAAGAATTGTATATATTTGGATGTAACGAAACATAAATTTATATTTACTCCACTCAATAAAACTATAACGATATTTACAAGGGTTGCTGTCTGAAATGTTAAACATCTATCGTATGACAGCTTTTTGATAGTTTCTTAGCTGTCATAGATAGACAGATTTTAGTATTTTATTCAGAAACAAACAATCGTTCATGCATCTGCAATGGCAGATTAGTCTGTGCTGTAAGTTTAGAGCCTGTCCTGTAACGACGAAAAATAATACAAAGAATGAAATACTGTAATAACTTAACTTTTTAATAGTTGTTAATTATATATAACTAAAATGGAAAATTATTATAAAGGGAAAAATGTTGAGGAGGACTTAGAGAGAGACAAGATACCAATTAAAGATTTGCCGGTAAACTTTCTTTGGATGCAAGTAAGATATTAAGGTGTTTTCTGGGACTATCTGTACTTTTTTTTTGTTATTAATTTGATACTAATGTAAACTAAATATTATTTAACAGGTTAAAGGTGGAAGTAAAATGGGAAATTTGCTTGCACATGCATCCGGTATATTGGAGGATAAAACGACAACAGCGATTGTTTGGAGTGCTGCAGGAGTGGGAATCCCAAAGGCTATTTCTTGTGCAGAAATTTTAAAACGACAGTTTTCAATCGGATATCAAATTACCAAATTGACACATAAAAAGTAAACAAAGTGTAATAATCATAATTTTATCGTTATGGCTCTGTAGTTTGATAATTCCTTTAAAAATAATTTCTAGATCCTATAATTAAAAGTTGAAGAATGTCAATAATGGGAACCCAGTTCCTAGCCTTGGACATTATCAGGTTAATTCCATGTTTTTCTTTCTGGACTGTTATGGATAGATCATTCAATATTCCTCCATTAATTAAAAAAAACTATGTATTTTTACCAGTCTCATGCCAACCTCCTAAAACCTAATTACTTTATTTAAAAAAATTTAGGCACTCTAAATGTCATTAACTTTGAATTAAATTATTATTTATTAACATAAAATTATTCAATGTTCATTTGAACTTGTATATGAAATAACTATGATGATTCTTAGCCAAAAGTTCTTTACCTATTTTTGTTGTACTTGTATGCTTGTAATTGTAAAATTGCACCTTTAAACAAAAAAGTTATTTCTTCAAAAGTAATATGCAGATTAGAAATGGTTTAAAATGCTTTCAGTGTAGAAGAATATTGGGAACCTAAATTAGATGGACTTGAAACAATTATAGTCAAACGGAAAATACCTGTAATACACATATTACTGTCTGTCACTCCAATCACTGATACTACTGAACTTGGGTAAGTATATGTCATTTGAGGTATATCATTTATAACATGATTAAAATAATCTTTATGTGATATAACTTCTATGACATGCAGATGTATCTAAATATTAGTCTTAATATTTGATATTTTAGAATGCCTTTGTTAAAATTTCATGAAGGTTAATACTGAAATATTATTCCTTAAAATATGAGGCTATTAGAAATGATGCTCATGATCATTTAAATTGAAAAGTAATTTGTTTTATTAATTGATGTACAAATTAGATTCCACTCCAATTCTGTCAGAGGAAGTTGTATTATGCAACTTTGTTAATTTATTTCTATATAATTATGTTTCAGATATCAAACTATAGAAGGAAAGAAATTTTGGCATAAAGAGGTTACTACTAGTAATACAAAGCCAAATCAATCATATAAATCTAAAAAACCTTTTAAATACAAGAAAGCTGTTATGAATTCATAGAATGTAAATAAACAATACTTTTAGTTTGACTTTATTTTTATATTATTCAATATATTTTGTTATTTTTATATATATATATATATCAATAAATATGAAATAAAACCATTTGTGGGACTACAATTATATATTTTTGTAAATGTAATATACATTGTAAATCTACCAGTTTCAAACAACAATCAGCATTACTCAATGAGTTATTACAGTGCAAGGTTTATTACAAGTTTTATATAACAGTGAGTCCTGATTATCCATAAGTTTCAAATGCCTTGATAGTTATTAAATGCTATGATTATTTGAATTCTCAAGTCAGTAGTATGCAAAATATTAGTACTTTAGGATGCATATAATAGACATACTATGTCAATACTCAAATAACACACTATTCAGACACACACTGATATAGAAATATAATTACTACTAGGTACATCTATATTCATTACCTAACAGTAAGGGTAAGATTCTATGAGCTTAGTGGATACTATGACTATAAATAGTACGAATAAATTCTATAAATAAGAATATTATGTAGACAAAAAATAAATTATTTCTTTAAATCTCAGGCTTCTGATTCACCAACAGGTGGTGCTATTGGTGTCTCATCATCAAGTTTAGGTAGAATCAATATTTCTTTCGAAATTATAGAGTATTTTGTAACAAAGTAAGTAAATCGCTTGCACAAATGTGTTTCTTTTTCAAAGGCATCAAATATAGCCCGATGATGAAAATAAGCATGCGAAAATATTCTATATACTCTTCTGCATACTGATCCCAGTTTCGCCACTGAAGATTCTTTGATGCTGACCCTGAAATAAAAAATATATTGAAATAAACTCACAAATATCAACAAATACTATGATTTTATCAATTTGATGTGATATTTCACTAATCACATCTAATACACCATTATCAGCCACACACTAAATTTTGTAAGAAAACAAATAACTTTCTTACAGTCATAATGTACATATATGGTTGCTTGAAAGATGTCACTTTTGAAATGTTAATTTAATGTTCTATATATCACCATATTTATATATAGAACATGCTTAACATTCAATACCTGCTCGGAAAATATTTATTGCTGTTCAGCAGGCAAGCTGCACCATCAAGAGTGTGTCTGGTGTAGTCAATAGCGGGACATTCCTTGGGAGTCTTGTGAGCAGCACACAGAAATATCCATTGTTCTGTGGCAGTCATCTGTGTACATGTCTCAGGCTTACATTCACTTTGTAACCTGACAGCCAATCCATTCAACTCCATGCAGAATTGTCTGAAAGTAAAAATATACAGAATATTCAGTTGCTACTAAATGCTAAGTTTTTGAACTTTCTTTTAAGCATCATAATGTCATTTCAAATGTATCTGTAAAATATCATCTATATTTTTCAGTGGCCAAATTTATGGTAATGTAATTGTGCGATTTTTTTATGAGAAGAAAACATTGGAGTTGTAGTTATTTTCAATTAGTGATGATATAAATCTAAATGAAGCTTATTCTGACTTCCAAGTTGAACAAAGATATAGTACATAAAATCTCCAGAAACATGTAAGTAACTATGTAGAAACTCGCCTACCTTCTCTTCTTAAAATGTAATCTACTTTTTCGAAAGCATACCATGGTGCTTCCATAAAAGTAGGTATGTACAAAAATAATCAGACATGGGATATAAATAAGTTTAAACTATATATAAGTAGCAATGTTTGTTAATATCAATATTTCAAACCTTACCTCAAATGTTCATATTTCCAAACTCCTTCATCCTGTGCTTCAGGCATTTTCAGTATAGCTTCCAGATTGGATGGATCACGTCGAATAGTTTGTTGTATAAATTGTTGTACTGCCAATGTGCTGTCCATCTCTTCAAAGGGCTCATCTGGCCAGCGACAAAAATCCTAAAACAAATGTATAATGTATACAGCAGTCCATGTATTAATTATATACTTCAACAACATTCTTATGTTCAATATATCTTTAGTTCTAAAGGCCCCTACCTTAAATTATTATCTTTGACTATCTGATAATAGTAACATATAACAAGAGAATGAGATATTCTGTTCATTCATATATGCAATATAAGTTACTGCTGGCAATTAGGTATAAACCTAATTGTAATCTATTTGCCATTGTTGGCTAAGTAACCCGATTTTATCTTCATTTCACAAAGGCAGGATAAATGTTATATCATTATCAACCACACAACTACTAATACTTATGCCAATATATTTATATTTATTTTACCTACTTAGTCTATTTCATGCGTATGATCGCAGATAACAACCAGTAAACGGATTAATAAATAAATAATAATAAAAGAAGACCATTCTACAATGGTCATGTTTTTACAATTTACATTGACAAATGGAGTGTACTATTTAGATATTGGACTATTGGGACATTGTTTAGTTTACTGTAATCTTTATAATATATTAACACATCTGGCTATAATATGTTCATACATAATTTTACTGAACCAGAATTAAAAATAAATAAAATACCCGTTACCTTTGCTTTCGATCCTGGGCGATTGCGCCTTAGTATTTGTACAGTTTCAGTCATTTTGATAGTAATTTATATATAAACACTGAATGTTAAGTTTGTATTCTTAAATTCTAGTATATATATTAATAATTTACGAATCAGAAAAACATGAATACTGTAAAGAAAAGTAAGTAAATCAAAGAAGCAGATATTACAACAAATTTTAGCGTAAATCAACTAAATGACAAACTGTAAGTAATAAAACTGTCACATTACAATGACAAACTCAAAAGACTGACGTCGAATCTTAGTACAGACTACAGTTCTCGCCTTCAGTCTTAGTTTCACAGACTGAGTTTTCAGTAAGAATGTCATTGTTTTGTTATTATAGCTTTTGTATGTTAATGTTTTTGTGAAGTTTATAGATTAATTTAAATATTAATTGATCTGAGATTCAATTAACAGATACTTTTAATGATTTCCAACACTTTTATTTTGTTTCGTTACCGTTTCGGACAAAATAAAACATAATGCATATAAAAATATGTTTTGTTATTCTGAGTGTCTTCTTTGCATATGTTTGGTCGTCAAGTGACATGACAGAGAGCTCTTTTGGTAAATTTAAACAGGGAGTCATAGCTGCATTTGGTGATTTTAACTCGGATGAATTAACAGATGCCTTTGTTATCACTAATAGTTCAGACATAGTGGTCTTTTTAGCTTATGATAAAGAACCCTTTTTAAGGCCATCGTCATTTGCATGTAATTTTAGCAATATTGTAATAACAAGCGTTGTGCCTGGGGACTATGATGGCGATGCATACATGGATATTCTTTTGACCACTCAGATACAAAATAAGACTTCTAATTTACATGAAGTGAGAGTAATATGGGGTGGCATGCCTAGTTTGAACTGCACTGATGCCCTCCTTGTCAAAGCTACAAGTGTGGGACAACCACTAGTAATGGATTATAATCGTGATATGACATTAGATTTGTTTGGTATTAACACTAATAATGAACGTGTGTTTTGGATATTTGATGAATCAAGATCTCTACCCAAAGAGATTAAAATGGGTGATGGAATACAAAAAGAAATAAAACTTCCACATTCACACTCATTTTTAGATGTTAATTTTGATGATGCTGCTGATTTGTTACTGACCACAACACTAGATATTGAAGTGTGGCTGAATGATGAAATTACTGGGTTCAAGTACAACAATAGCATAGAACTATTAGTTGGTCATCCTGTGATATATGGGCAAGCCCTTTTTATTGATGTTGCACTGTCCGGTCAATTCTTTTTAGTTATACCTGTGTGTTATGATCCTGAATGTTTGAATAGTACTGTATTTATTTATGACAATAATCAATGGCATGACTTGCAAATAGACTTCAATGATGGCGAAGGAACATTATGGAGATTCACACCTCCACGAAATGAAATATACTTAGATACTATAACTATGCGTAGTGGTGATTATAATATGGATGGATATCCTGATATATTGATGACGTTAAGTCCTGTAAATAATAATGATACTAGAGTTTTCTTACTTCACAATATCCCATGTGATCAATCATGGTGTAAATTTTACAGAACATTTGAAGTTCAATGGCATAACTTTGATACTTTTGGTAAAGATGTAGTTATGGCTACATTTTATGATTTCTATATGGATGGAGTTCTTGATGTGATATATGTTAAAAAAAATAGCACATCACAAGATTATACTATGCACGGTTTTAAGAATGAGCTAGAATATGATACAAACTTTATAAAAGTAATTGTTGTAACTGGATTGACTAATGCTAGAGTACCAGTTATAAATGGTACCCTATACAACAGAAAAGTTACATTCGGTAAGACTATATAAAGTAATTATGATGGATGTAGTGATTATCATGATTCCACTAAATTATTTTATAAAAATTTTGTTTTTTTCAGGGACCAATTTGCCAGGACCCAAAATTGGCTACAATACTTGGTCACAAGAAGGCAACTACCGAACAGGAGTGTGTGCACAACTGCCCCAGTCTGCATACTTTGCTCTCCAACTTCCATACTCAATATTTGGACTAGACCGTACACCAAATTTTGTTGACACCTTATCTGTAGGTCTCTCAGGTTATTCTAAAAGTTGGACTCAAATCATTCCAAATTCTCAAATAGTTGTAATACCATCACCACCCTTTGATTCTTCGCAATGGAAAGCTCAACTATTTGTTACTCCAAGTAAAGTAATTCTTAAAAGTGTTTTTGTTTTATCTGCTATTTTAATTGTAATAACAGCTCTTGTACTTTATCTGCACTGGAAAGAGCGAAATGACCGCCAGGATATCATTGAAATTGATGAGAAGACATATGTGAAAATATAACACTTAATTAGTATGCATTTACATTAAATTATGTTCACTAGTTACTATATTACTACAGATTTTTTTGTTTCTAAAGCATAAATTATATTAAATGTGTATTGTATTATAATTGAAGATAAATTGTTCCAAGTCCAAGTAATTATTCAGGAGATTATGATTTGGTAGTTGAGAAAAGCTATAATACTTTAGTGAAATTAAATAAATATAATAACATATATTGTACATAAATAAGCTTTAATGTATATGGATGTTGTCAAACTGTGATCTATAAAAACTTTGTATTTAAGGTATTGAAGTATAATGAGGCTGTTATAAATATGTAATATAGAATATCTAATAATATATGTGATATAATTTTTGTCTGATAATGATTTTCATAATTATAAACATGCTGTAATTTAAATGTTGTAAAGAAAGATATAAAAATTGTAATATAGTGTATATAAATGCCATACCTAATGGACCATTTGTTTTTTTAAACCATGGAAAATTCTATCCAAATCAGTCTAGCTGCATGTATTTGTCCTTAATATTTTGTACTATTTTGTTACGGTATCAACTGTCTTTGTCTAAACTAAATTTTATTCTGTTTACATGATCATACTATTTGATTCGATTACTATTAGACCATTATTTTTTTATATTTGTGAATACTCTTTTCCTCTCTGTTTAGATAGTATGTAGGTATATTACTGTATAGTTGTTTTTTTTACTGGATGATAATGGTATGGTGCTCATGCCTGTGCTAATGGATTATGTCGGCGGGACACCAGGTGATGATAAGATGAGCATAAGATCAGGTTATTTGCCCATCGTGGCAAATTCCAGGAATTTATCAGGTTGGTTTACAGGCCGTATTGTGAAGAGGTTAACCTAACATACAACTTTTCATGCTAATTACGGAAGTTTTAATGTTGTTAATTTATTAATAGAATATATTTTTAGTAACAAACTATAACTCAAGTAGGTGTGACACCATTCGATGCTAGAACAATTATACATCAGAATTTGTAACGCAAATCATAGTTGCCACAAAAACATAGTGTTTTAAATATTTAACAGTTGGAGTTTTAATAGGAATATTGTTAAGTCACGAATTTAACAATATTCCTGTTAAAACTGTCCAACTACTATATTGAAATTGGGACATTGCGGCTTTCGTTCAATCTTCGGTGCATGCAAGTTGATTTACGACGTCTTGTGAAATCGACACCGATTTTACCCCTACTATGTTACGCCCCTGATTTGATAATGTTATTAAAAGGTGTGGACAATAAAACAAAACGTATTTAAAACTAATTTTAATGTTGTATTATTTATTATAGCCTGGTTTAGTACCTGTGTTTGTAATACAGTTAAGTATAAATATAATAATTAAATATAATTTATATTACAAAAGAACCAATCAAAGTTGGTCACATACATGCAAGAATGTCCAATATAATTGGAAACTCCTTTTTTATAGAAAAGGATTAGAACGCAATATTAAGAAACACAGTGTTTCAAATACAATAAAGATATAACAAATATTTAGCTTTTGTACGAAAATATTCTTTAGTGCTTGTGCTTGTGTTTTTTCTCCTTCTTCTTTTCCAATTTCTCAAGTTTTCTGAAACAATATTTTCAATTAGTGCTCATTTTAATAATGTATATAGTAAATATAAAAATAAGTACAAAATATATAAAGGTTACAAGTTCAAATATGGTTGTGGTTTGTTGTATGTAAAAACCTTTGTGTTATATTTCTGAAACATATTTTTTTAACATGGTAACAACTAACTCATTGGATTCAAATATGTTCAACACGTTTAAATGGTCTCTAATTACCTCAAATCACAGTCCATTTTACATTTATTATACATATGTTTTTTTTGTTGATCTGAAACTATCAGAGTAACTATATTAATGTTACCATAAAAATAAAAACATAATAGTACATACTTCAACAGCTTCTTCTTTTGTTTTTTTGTTAGTTGGCTGATAAGATCCAGTTCAGTGAAGTTAGATGCATCATTATCTTCTACTTTTGTAGCAGCCAATGGCATAGCCCCAGGTTTCATCACTAATCCAGTATCACGCATTTGCTGCATGAGTGTGGGTACATCAGGTTTGGCTTCTTCTTCTTCAGGTGCTGATGTAGAGGCTTGTAAGGCACGAGCCTCACTCATAGACAGTGAATACATTGAACATTCTTTATCTGTGGATTACATTGACAAAGGGAGCATAAATAGTTATAATAAAAGCAATATATACTAATAATACTACTAGCAACCCGCAAAGTTTAAGACGGCCAATACAGCATATATTATATGCTTAAACAGACAGAGATGTGAGCAAGTCTAGTCCTCACTTCAATGTAAGACTGATTTTTAGTAGCAGTTTCTAATTTACTATAAATGTGTATGTGTGTAAGAGTAATGTATATGAAATTCTTAAGCTAAGTAACATTTACTTTGAAGATTAATATTGTTTTAGGGATAATTTTCAGAAGTTACACACTACCCATTCTGAGACTATACCGAGGTGTATAGGCTATCAAAAAAAAAAAAGGAAATATTCCATTACGCTTTTTTTATAGAACTAACAATAATATAATACCATACATAAAAATAACATAAACATACATAAATTTGTGATATATGCTATATCACAAATTTATTATGCAGCATTTCAGCTACTCTAAGGATAAGTGAAAACTGCATGAATATAAGTTCAGTAGTTTTTTAGAATATAGGAAACAGGTAAGACATGACACCCCTGTGTTTCAGGCGACCATAGGCTATGGTTTACCATTTACCATCAGATAGGCCATATGCTTTTTTGTTACCTAATGGTAAAAAAACACAGGACTTTGTATTTTATATGAATAATATATGTTACATTTATTACTCACCAGTATTAATATGACCCCATTTATGACACTTAATACATCTTACATTCCTGACAAGTATACCAAATGGTTGATCACGAATTTCATTATCACCCTTGCAATAGCTCTCTCTTGGGGCATTATATTTTCGCTGCCATTCAAATTTATACTCTGGTTCATTATCTTCTCGTTCACGCTCTTTTTTTACACCAGGTGGTGGTTCATACATAAAATTGAGGCTGAGTTTGTCCTTGCTATCTTTGCTCAATAATGCTCTGCAATAAAAAAAGGTTATATATAATGTAAGCCTGTTAGTCTCACCCTGTAAGCAGCTGGTAATAATGGTTTTAATATACTGTAATTTATTGTTGTTATACTATACTGTTCTATGGAATCAATGGGCGCTAATGGTTGGAGGACCATATATTAAACAATAACATTGGAAAGACCAATTCAGCAGAGAACATTACATGTTGAATTGATACAATAATTCTCTACACACTATACTCTTAAATTATTACTTTTTGTACAGCTCTTAATGAAGGATGAATACTGGCCCAAGGGAGTGATGCATCACTGTTATAAAGGAAGACTGCCGCCAACAGTGTTGTAACCATAGAAACAATTATTTTTGTTATTATTTTATATGTATTTGAGTCTGTAAATTATATATCATATGGGTCTTAAAGTTGGTTAAAATAAATCAATAAATAGAAACAACATTATACATCACTATAAGTTATAAGTCAAATGTCAAAGATATTCTATGCAGCCATTGCACATATTTGAAAATTTCTTTCACCATATTTAACATATCATATATTATATTTGTATATAAAAAAAAAAAAATCTGTCTAGATGTAGAAAATGAAGTAAACATCTTGCCTATTTTAGAAAGTGAAGTAGAATACGCTATTAATACGCTTAAAAATCAAAAAGCAGCGAGACCTGACAACATAAGAAATGAAGCTATAAAAATGACATTGTCTGAAACTTTACCAAAACTAACGAGCCTCTTCAACATCATTTTGGCGACAGAGTATATTCCTTCACAATGGATGACAAGCAACATAATACTTATCCACAAAAAGGGAGATAAAGAAGACATAGCTAACTATCGTCCAATTAGCCTTATGTCCAATATCTATAAAGTCTTTGCCAAAATCATATTGAATCGTATTACGAAACAACTCGATGAACATCAACCAATCGAACAAGCAGGATTCAGGTCAGGTTTCTCCACTGTAGATCATATGCACACATTAAAACAAATAATTGAAAAATGCAAAGAATACGGACTTCCTTTGTACCTTGCTTTCGTAGACTATAGTAGGGCGTTTGACTCTCTCGAACATAATGCTATATGGCAAGCCCTCAAGAACCAAGGAATAGAGAATAAATACATACGACTCATAAGGAACGTATATAAGAACAGCACAGCACGCGTCAAACTTGAATCACTAGGGGAAGTCTTTCCAATTAGCAGGGGCGTTAGACAGGGTGATCCTTTATCTCCCAAGATATTCACATGGAAGAGGTCTTCAGAACGTTTGATTGGGACAATGCAGGTATTGAAATAGATGGAAAAAAACTCAATCATTTACGATTCGCTGATGATTTGGTACTCATGACAGATAGCCCAGAAACTCTACAAATGATGCTTGAAGAACTTATAAAAGTGAGTAAAGAAGTCGGGTTAACAATAAATAAGACAAAAACTAAAATAATGACCAACAAAAATGAAGTACCAATCAAATTAGAAAACGAACATATAGATTATGTAACATCATATATTTACCTTGGACAACTCATCTCAATAAAAGACCAAATGGAACAGGAAATAGAAAGAAGAGTTACAAGTGCATGGAAAAGATACTGGTCATTGAAAACTATAATGAAAAGCAAACAATACCCCATTAACTTAAAAAAGAAAGTTTTTAATACCTGTATTTTACCAATACTAACATACGGATGCCAAACATGGGCAATGACCAGGAAAAATATGCAAAAACTGGTAACATGCCAAAGGAGTATGGAGAGAAGCATGTTGGGTTATAACAGGAGAGATAGAAAGAGAGCGATGGACATAAGAGTTCTCACAGGTTGGGATGAAGTTACAACTAAAATAAAAAGGTTGAAGTGGAAATGGACAGGTCACACACTAAGGGGAGATATGAGATGGACGAAAACTGTAACTGAGTGGATTCCCCGTCATAAAACGAAACGAAAAAGAGGAAGACAGTACAAGAGATGGTCTGATGACCTTAGAAAGATTGGCAAAAGATAGGAACGCATGGAAAACGCTGGAGGAGGCCTTTGTGTCTAAAGGACACGTTGACTCAGAGACTGATGTGCAGAATTAGAAGTAACATAAAATGTATATATAAGTAACTAATATTTCTTCTATATTTTAAACTTGTAATCAAATATTATGATCGATTATATTATTTTGTGTCAATTAATAAAGGCTTTGAATTTGAATTTGAATATTATATTTGTAATTGGTACCCAAAGAAAAATAAATAATGTAGTTACAATATTTATTTTTCTTTAGGCACAGATATCTAATAATGCAATACTAGAAACCCGATTCAGAATCAATGTAGATGGTAAAAGTATCGAGGATTCTTTTATTATGGTTCTGATTGCATATCAAATTTAAGATCCTAACCTAACACTCAATGCGAAAAGTATATTGAATGCCTATTAAATAAAAAAATATTGTTTAAAGTTTTAATAACATTTGAAATTTTATAGTATATAACATTTATTATTAAGTGTGTCATAGAATAGTGCTGATGTAATCAATATAAAACATACTTGTTTTCATGTAATTCTTGCTCTTTTTCATACTGGACTCTTAGTTCTTCTTGTTTTTTTTTGTATGCTTCTGTTTTCTGTTCTGCCATCCATACCTGAAAAAGAATACTTAAAAATTAGACAAAGGAGCAAAGAAGGTATAGTTAGATATATGTTGAATGCTAATGTTCCAGCATCAATATTACATAGTATAAAATAAAGTAGCAATTGCAGTCTGTCCCTATGTATGATTAAATCATTAAAATTATGCAAAGGATTTTGAAGCAGTTTTTTTAGTAGATAGAGTGATTCTAGAGGAAGGCCTATATATATAATACATCTACATCCATACAAAGCCCGGGCGAGCACCTAGTATTTTATAAAATTATAAGTATGAAAAATAAAATGGATGGCAACAATCTAAACACCATCATTTAATATTAATTATAATCATTTCCATCACATATTAGATAGGCCATGTAAACAGAATTACTTTCGTTTTTTCAAACACCATCTACATTGTTTTTGCTTTACATAATGTAGATGGTGTTCCACCTGTGATTAAAATCTTGTAAATGATGAAATATTAATGAATATGTAAGTAGATATTACTAATTATTAATATAGAACATATAATATCGAATTTATACTGTTACTTACCCGTTTCAAGTTATCTCTTGAAGCAGGATGAAAGAATTTCTTACACATATAATTATTAAATCCTTTACCCATGATGAGAGTTAAAATTTGTTTTAAAAACAATATATCCTTCAAGTAAAGAATAGTAAGATTATGTTCACAATTATTGTTTTTGTCTTCAATACGTCAAGTTCAAGTAGACTCGGAATCTATAAAAATAAAATTAAAACATAAAACAGGAAGTTACTGAAGAAATGTAAAGATTTTGTTGGTTTTTGGTTTTTCATTCCTAAGAGATGATAAACAAATAAAAGGTGGTGATTATCTCCTTAAAAAAGTATGTGGTAATAAAAAAATATGTAGCAAGTATGTCTATCTAGGACATTATTTAGTGATTGATTAGAATCAATCACTAAATATAAGGGTTTTTTTTAACTATTTAGTGAGATATTAAAAATTACTAACATTACAAAATGCGACACATAATCACAAACACTATTACGCTCCTTGAAACACAGTAACAACATAATAGACAAGATAGTTCACAACATAGATACACAGATCTCACAAAATTACACTATACTTTGTACTATAATCTATGGTTCTTTTCATTAAAAGTTACATTTAAGCTCTTGAGTAGTATATTCTTTGCATTTAAGTGTTAATTGGCTTTATTTTGGGATAAAAAAAGTCAAGTAGTTAAATTAAATATATGACTTTAATTTAGAAGTTGGGCGCAATTTTTAGCACTATAAATAAGACTAAAGAACAGGTAGAGTATTCCTATTCGGGAGTATTGCCCTTATTTATATACTTATAACGGCAAGTACCTAGTACAGTTTGTTTAGGGATTCTAAACAAAGTTTAGGTATATAGTAAAAGATAGTCATCTGGCAACATATTGACTAAACTCCGAGCAGTTTATCTACTAAAACGCTTGTATCCATGATCAAGTATAAAATGAAATAAAAAAATATGAGTGAATGAATACTATGTCAATCATGCTGTCGAAAAAAGTCAATCAAGTAAATCAATTTGTCAAATTAGAAGGAGCATTCAGACCTAGGTACTTGGACAATTGGAATTCTACAAATCTTATTTCTGTTTTTCAAAAGCAACAAGTTAAATACGTTTTTAAACCACCTACATATTAAATTCATTATTAAAAGTGATACCCATTTGCTTCTATTTCTATTGTATATGAATGATTTAATTGCGTAGTTAAAAGTCGGTTTTTACGTACATAAGACTTTCTAGAGTTAGTTTTTAAAATAATTGCAGTGTCTCTCCAATAAATAGTGTTCGCTCAGTAATGGATAACATTGTTGATTTTCCTTTCTGTGTTTTAATATTTTATATACTTAATTAATGTAATTTTTTGCGGTTTTCTTTTGTGTATATTGTAAAGCATTTGTAGACGCACTGCAAAGTGGTTAATCCGGATTTTCAATCCACATTTCCTTATTGCCATTATTGTGTTGCCTTTTATTTTAACACATTGATACTGTTTTATCACGTGAAGTATTTTTAGAATTCAATTTACTGGTATTGAAGCCTGATGTTTTTTAACTTCAGAGCTTTTTATTGTATTGATACAAAGTGATTTTGTTGTTGTATAACAATTGTTACTGTGATGAACTATGAGCTTATGAAATATAGTGCAAAACACTTCAAAAAAGTTAATTGGAGATTTATGGTAAGTTAATTTAACTAATTTGGTAGATATATTTTTTTAAATATAAGACAATATTGGGTCAATGGCAATAAACATTATATTAACTTAAAACAAAAATTTTGGATTCACATACTTACTATAATTTTAATTAAATATACATTCAACTTGTTTTCTGAAGTATGCCTAGAATGTAATAAATTTACGACGTAGAGAGTGTTGAAGTGTAGTGACTTATTTATGTACTTTGAAACCACAGGGTTGTGACATCAAGTTAGGTCAATACTAAACTTTGTCTCATTTAAAATGTCTTATTAAGTAGCACTTTAATAATATAAAACACCAATAACAAGCAACATTGATCATAGGTACAGCTGATACATATTGGATTGAAATATTATTGTGTCTGTATTACTAATGCAATGTAAGTATATAATAACTTTACTTAATTGATGAACTTGATATATTGTCATAAAATTAATGGAAATGGTAGGTATTTTAATTTAATTGAAACAATAAACAAAAATAAATATATAGACCTGAACAACCCACAAAATGAGGAATGAATGCTAGATCAGGGTTAAAGAGAAGTATTTATAACTGATGTGCTACTAAACAACTAAGGTTCGTCCCCCCGTTACAACCATATATGGGCAGGATATAAAGAGGGTTGACTGACATGACCTCTTGCTTATTTTATCATCATCCATTGGAGCCTTGTAAGCATATAATATTGCATAGATGGGTGCACAGTTCCATTACCATTAATAAAATAAATCCCTACATTCATATTTGGTTGGATTGGGGGGAGGGAGATTGTTAGTAATGGGGTTTAGTCTCCCCATTGATGGCAACCATGTTAGGTCAACCTCCATGAGGTTCCCCCTGGAAACCATTGTGCGCAGACGGGTGCACATTTCCATTATCATCCATGAAAAAATATGTTTTAGGAGATTATATTTTTATAAGAGACTTATTTCTAAAATTTTCATAGTTTTTATATTATGGACAATGTAACAATTTATACACCACCCGACCCTCTAGTTTTAAAGTGAATTGAATACTGTAACATAATTTTTTTTTGTAATCATTGCATGAACATTTTCTAACTACCATAGTCTTTGGGAAACCTGAATAATCCACCTCAAATAGAATTTATTCTACCCTTAGCTTTTATAGTCATACTAGCTGCACCTGCATCTTCATTCGCATGGAATTTAACTTTATTTTTCTAAAATATAAGAATTTCTCTGACAGACAGACAAAAATTATAAAAAATGTTATTTTGGTGTATGGACCATATTTATATTCCATATGGATATGAATATGGTCACATGTAGTAAATAAAACCGTTATTTCAATATTGAAACAGACACTCCAATTTTATTTACATGTATACAATAGATACCATACCATAGATTGATCTAAATCGAAAATTTTTAGCTATTTTAAATCATCCATTATGTAATGTATGTTATATATTTATTTCATTTCATCCTGTAGTGGAATCCATGGAAACATCACACACTAATGACATCACAGGGCCCTTCTTTAAAAAGCATTTTATTAGCTAAAAGTTTTTAATTTATTAAATCAACCTTTTATTTAGTGTTTTTCTATAGACATCATGATCACAGCGCATAGAGTTGGTCTGACGAATATTTCAAGCTAAAATTTAAATTTAGGGACAAAGAACAGGTACAATAAATACTATTGATAAATATGATTTTTAGATATGTATGAACTTACATATCTAAAAATCAGAAAAGTTACATTTATTATCGTGATTTGAAGAAATGAATAAGGGATCAGCTTTATTACTTTTTTCAAGACTGAAATCACGTACATATTCTTTTTGCTTTTTGGTGATCTAATTATAAGTTGCTTTAAATATTGTCCCAGATTAGCAACAAAGTAGTCGAGGAGGAATATTGCGTAGGTACTAAGTAAAGCCCTGTTCAAAGCAAATAAATAGACGCACCCATGTGCGGACCAAATCATGGTCTTTGGTTGTCAGCAAAAATAATTTATTTCGACAAATGTTAAATTGTTAATATTTGTTTACAAATTATATTTAAGGCAAATGCAGCGACAAAATATGTAAATTACTTACTAAATATTTTTATAATTCATTTTCTGTTATAAAATTGATTCACGTATAAGAATTGATTAACGTAGACAAAAAAATACAAAAATATTTATTTCTATATTTATGTACAATTCTGTGAGCAATATTAGTGATTAAAATAGGTATTTTATGGCAATCCTGTGGTTGATAATCTATAACTGATAAACCTGTTGTCCGAGAATTTCTTTGCACGGATTTTCACCTACTATTTCACTCCTTTTCTTAGTGTTCGAGATAAAAATAGTCGATATTGGTCTTCGTGATAGTCAGATAGACAGCCTATCTTCATGTGAAATTTCTTTAAAGTCCGTTTAGTCATGAATAGGTTACAAATAGACACAATTTCGTATGTGTAATATTTGTATTGATTTTGCATAATGTACCTACATACTTATAAGTTTTTTGTACAATATTATTTACTGTGGCTGTGGTGTGAGTTGTAGTTTGGTCGATTTTTATTATGTTGTGTGGGTGCGGTCGGGAGTGCCAGGCCAAACATTGGCCAAGGAGATCGATATTATCCACGAACTATTCCGCTTACTTACCTATATCTAAACATCCAAAGAACAGACTAAGACAAAAGTGTTTTTTGCTTTTGGTAAAGCCAAAATGTAAATATTAAAGGTAGAGTTATGGAAAATTGATTGTCAAATAAGATCTACATCTGGAAATCATCTTAAGTAAAAGCTATTTAAATGGGAGATATATTTAGTACAGTTTGCATATTTGAAATTAAAACTTTGGTCCATAATCTTAACTTTTTCGGAATAGAGAATTGACGAGATAGGGAAGGAGTAATATCATTTTTTCTTCAATTGATAAATAAGAAATGAAACTGATGGAGGGGATAGCACGAAGATAAAGTAAATTCAGTTAGATCACCATCATTACCAACAAAACGTAGCAGAGCGGCGAGCCTACTGGTCTTATGGATTAAATTGGGTTGTTATCGGTATTACCATCACTAGAGAAATAAGTCAATTATGTAAACTGACCAATAAAGATTTTTGTGTCGGTTAGATTTGTACTCACGATGCTGGTCTCTTTTATTAGTAGAATTGGGCAAATAAATAGACGTAGTTATGAGTAAACTTGTTTATTATAGCTATTTTCACGAGACTATTGCCTTAATATGTATCAATTCAAAAGTTTGGCGTTTGAACTGCGCCTAGAGGAATAATAAACATTGTCTTGTAGTTAAACGTCAAATAAACAAATGGAAAAATGATTTAGAATCTGAAAATACAAAAATACCACATATACACTTTTATTTATAGTTTGAATTTACAGATAAGGATTCGTATTTTCGCATTACACACTGATAAGAGAACTACTAGGTACATACAATTTATATATAACCAAAATTGGGAGGTATTAGTTATTTTTAATTACTGAAAAAGGTTGGTACATAGATAGTCGGTGTCATCTTATAAATATTTACGTCATGCATGAACTACCGGATCTTTACGAACCATACGAGATTGTTTTATACTGACAAATGTCGAATATGAAAAATGGATTAAATCTATGAATAGTTTTATGTTTTACCTTTTTGTAGATGTGACCACTGTTCGACCTTCCTGTATGTGTAGTTACTCAGACTGCTATTAATAACTTAGTAAATATGTGCCCAAAGACGAGGTTACAACTATTTACTCCAACTTAAAGTTATTTATTTGTATATGTGTGACGCAACGTTTTATGTATACATTTACCAGCAGTAGATATTTTATTTGTTTCTGTACGTAGTCATTTATAAGTCCTATTTTGTATGTGTCCATAAGTGTACATAAAATAGTGTTATCGCTGTTGAAATAATGTTACAGCATCAAATTATTAAATATAACCTAAGTATATGAATAGAGCTAATGAATATAACATGTTTTAGGTCAAAAGCTAATAGAAATGTTGACAGGTTTGCTCCGCGTTTCGCACTAGTTAACTTTTCTCCCTTGGTCGCTGTGACTGACGGAAATATTTGTGATTGCGCGAAATGTAATCATAATCATATTACCTTTTTATTAAATTCTAAAAATAAACTGAGAGAGCGTTATCGTTGACGTTATCTCAAGGCGAGATCACGCCGCGCCGGCGCATGCGTTGTAGCCACTTCTCGTCATGTGTGATGTGTAGAGTTGTAGAGCGACGACACCCATCAACTCTGAACATCGGCTTATTGTAATATAAGTAATATACTAGCTGAATTACCCTTACCTGTATAACTTATGTTTGTTAACCAATTGGAATGAAACAAATGAACTCTTACGACAAACGGACAAAAATTCTAACAATCATTGTTTTGCGGTCTATTGCGTTGATAAGGTCCTCCAACAATAGTTTTCTTATATCTACCATGTACAGACAGTGGCAAATTACATTTTTATTAATGTATAGATGTACATATTATATTTGCGTATTTTTAGTAACTATCGTCAGTTAAAATGTTATAAACGGTCTAAAACTGATAAAATTCTTCTACTGTGGTTTTGTAATACTTGTATTTCCGAGAGAGCAAAGTAAAAACAAAATTAATAGGCATTTTATAATATTATTATACTTTGGGGATGAGTATGTAACTCTCCGCTCGCTCTACAAAATCTTGGCTCTAAAAAACCTGACTTGGTATATTACTAGCGATGGAGTAATTAGTTCACGTTATTAAAAATCCCTTCGCCCCGGGTGATCCTATTGATATTAATGTATTACAAATTCCCCTCCCTAGTCGTGGTTAAGTCCTGGACAATACGCCACGATGGGCTAACTGATCTGATTTCATGCTTATCCTATTGACCACTATTTTAAGCCAATTGTACCTACATACCGTTAGTGCAGGCAGGCAGACACAATTCTATATTCATTTAATAAAATATCGGCAAGTTATTCTAATTTCTATAAG